AGGGGCAGGTGACAACGTGTGGCCACAGAGTTAAGAAGCAAAGAGACATTCAAAGGTTTGTTGTTTGGTTTGCTTTTATTTTCTTATTTTTTATTTATTTTTTGGCAGGATGATGTGGGCAAAGTGGTGATTTAGGAACATTTGGATTATGTGTTGGGTAGATTGGTGATGAGAGAGATAGAGGGTAAGGATGTGAGGTAGAGGGAATAGAGTAAATAATAGTGAAAATAAAGAGATTGACAAAAGAGCACTTGAAACCAAGGAAGAAATGTGTAGCAACACAGGAAGTATAATTGACAGCATTTCAACAAGCCATCATCTACTTTTGGATCTGATGGCTAATTGAGTGTATAACGACAAAATATTTAACCAGGTGATCCCTAACTGTTTGAATGACTAAGCTAAATGAGCATTAATACCACCTGATAGTGATTCTGAACAGTAAGGCAAAGGGTCTTGGGAAACCGGTCTTGTCTGTCTTCCAGTTTTGTTGTGGTGAAACAGTCATTTCCATAAGAAGGAGGAAAGCTAACCGCTCTCTTGGGCAGCATTAAGCAGAGAAGGGTTGAGAATATACTAGATGGTAACACTAGGAGTCAAAGCGATGAGTTTACTAAAATAGTTCAACACAAATAAATGGAAAATTCTGTTCTTTGGGACCAAAAACCAATTAACAGGAGAGGCAGCTGTCTGCTAAAATATGTGAAAAATATAGGTTGGGCTGAATGTGAGAGGTAGAATGGAATATATGTGTTCAGTCAATAAACATCTTGAATCTTGGCTCTGACAAGAGTAGGTTTGGAATAAATGAAATGAAGAATAACCCTGAAAAGAATGAGACAAAATAAAGGTCAGTTTGATTATCTGTGAGGAAAACAGGAAATTAGTGCGAATTTTGGTCACCGGCAAGACTGGGAGCATACTCCAAAGCTGAGGACGGGTATGAAGTTAAAGGTGGTTTGAGTTTAGGCACCAAAGTAGTGAAATATCAAGGCGGCAAAGCCATCCAGGTAAATGGCAGAGCAGGGGTGAGCAACTGGAGTGCATTGGTTAATATGAAGTCAGCCAAGTTAGGCTAGAAAAGACCAGGCAATGAACAAGGAATGGAGACTAGTAGTCATGCCTGGTATAAATAATTTTAGCAGATGTAAAGAGCTTCCACGGAGTAAGAAAAAAAGATAATTTGGAAGAGATGCCAACTATAATCTGAGTGACTGAGCAATGGCCATCTTCTATTTATGACCATGTTGCTGAGTAACACACAGTAAAAATAAAGACTACAAACCATGTGGGAAACTGCATACAGGCTAAAGCAAATGAAAAAAAATAGGTAGGCTGAGTTGACTGTACAAATATTGCCAGCCTTGTGTTATCTGGAAGAACAAAGCATAAAATTAAAACAAAGGAAGGGGTCCACAAGACTTAGAGGTGGGCTACAAAAGAAGCAGGAAAAGCTGAGCTGGAATGAGTCTGAAACTAAAGCGAAGCTTCCTAAGTGGTTTCTTAACTTCCAATTTTCTCGCTCCATCGACCAGCCAGTGATCTTTCCAAAGGTCCAATTATGTGGCTGCTCTGCTCAAAATCCTCCATGGCTTCCCATCACGAGCCCAAGTCCTGCCAAGGCTTATAGCTCTTGTCAGGCCAAGCCTCCCACTCTGTCTCCAAGCTCAGTTCCTACCAGCTCCCACTGGCTTCACTCCACTCTGGCCACATGGCCTCCTTGCTTTTCCCAACTTGCCAGCTGTTATCTACTGGAAGGCTCTTCCACACAACCAAGCAGTTGGCTTCATCACTTCCTTCAGGTCTTTGCTTAATGGCACCATCTCAGAGATGGCTTCCCCGACCACACTATGTAACAGAGTATTCTCTCTTCTACTTATTAGAACGAACTCCTTGAGAGAAAGGACCTTTCTTGGTTCTTCCAAGTCTACAACAGTATGAATTCCCCGTGACAGGTACTAAGTACTTGCGGATTGAGTAAGTGGAGCGGGAGATGTGAAAAACACACACAAAGGGGTTAATTTGGGGGAGAGACAAAGGGGAACAGACACTAGGGTAGGGTTTTCACAAGTTGAGTCCCAGACTCCAGAAATTTGTGTGGCTTCCCTATTATAATTCACCTCCTCCCACCACACTTCAGATCCATTCTAAGTTTTCAGCAGTGAGACAGTGATTTAGATGCTATAGACTTATTCTTCCCAGAGGGTTTGAAGCTCACTGAAAGAGTAGACTTAAGATTAAAAGATTAAGAATATTAAATTTAAAGCATCCTAATTTGAATTTCTAAACTTGGATACCACAGGTTTCCCTGAGGTCTCGTTCTTATTTTTTTTGCACACAGTCTCAAGCTTTTCATTAAAGTATGCCTTAGAATATTTATGATTTTAAAAGCAGCCTTACCAAAAAAAAAAAAAGTTTTAAAATATTTTATTTTCACTAAGACAAATGTTACCTTAAAGATAATACAAATCAGTGTCTCATTTTTAAAGACTATAAGGGAGGCTGAATGATTATTCACAAACCATAAGTAACATTAATATAAAATTGTATTAAAACAGTAGTGAGCCTGGCTGGTTGAGTCAATGGTTGAGTCAATCCATGAGCCAAGAGGTCACCGGTTTGATTACTGGTCAGGGCACATGCTTGGGTTGTGGGCTGATCTCCAAAAGGGGGCATACAGGAGGCAGACTGATGGATGTTACTCTCTCAGCGATGTTTCTCCTGCCCCCTCTCCCTTCCTCTCTGAAAAAAATGAAAACATATTTTAAAAAAACACTAGTGAAATAATGGCTGCAATTTGATTTTAAAATTGTTAATTTAAAATCCACTGTGCAATAAGTCACTCCCTTAGGCTAAGTATTAAAGCAGTAAAAATTTTCAGCAAGGAAAATACTCTTGGAGGACAAAGTAATTCTTCAAAATATGCTAAACATCCTATTTTTTAGTTTCACAAACTTTAAGAATAAAAAAATGCAAAATTATAGCATTAATGTAATAAGTTTATTTTCATTCCAAATTATTTAGGATATAAAGCAGTGACCTGTTAAATTAACAGATTATCTATCTTGAAAGTATTGAATCACAAAATTCTCTAACCAAAGTATGCTATTAAAAACACCATTCTACTGAGCTTTGACTCTTCAGCTAGAGGTCTGATTATAAGAAAACCTTGGGTTATACATCACAATTGGTGATTCTTTGCCTCAATCTCTTGAGCTCTCCTCCAGGAAGGTTATTAAGATTTTTAAGACCATCTCTGAAGCATTTGGTATCAGAAAGGAAAAACAGCAAAGGAGCCCTTAAAAGATAAGCACAGATTTTTAGGCACTGAGACCTCACTCAGGTTAACAAGATGGTAGTAGTGCAATAAAGACCAGTAGCCACCAATTCAGGCTCTTGAGAAGGTCTTTCTTAAGTGTGAATCCCGGTTGGCAATGTGAGCTAGAGCAAGTTCACTTAAACACTTTAAGCCTCAGTTTCCCCGTATGTACAGCGGCAGCATTAGTACACACGGTGATTATTTACAGCAGGTACTCCATAAATATTATGTTCTGACAATATTTAGGTTAGTAGCTAAGGAAAGGATCAGTACTTAATATATGATAATCTGAAAAGTAATTTGGAAATTGTGTGGTCCTTTTAACTCTGATTTAAATTAAGAGAATTTTAGGGGACCCCCTCACCTGTAAGTGTGTTACCAATTGGGGAACTAGTTTTCCTAGGACATACTAGTAGTGCCAGTTAAGGAAGTTGTGCCAAAGACTTATACTGTATAAGCACATATGCACACTTCTTACTTAATTCCCTACTTTGGAACTATTAATATTATTATTGTTCAATAATGACAATAAATTTAGAGAATACAGATTAAACATGCTTACATCTAGTATATTCATGTGTAAGCTGAATTGTTTTTCTAACAAACAGAGAAAATGTTAAAGTAATAAACTCTCAATTGAGAATTTAAGGGATAAAACTATTAATCTGTTGAAAAGGAAATTACATTATAAGGATAAGAATAATTTCCTTTTTTGACATGTTCTAAGGGAAGTACAGAACTAACCACAACTTCCCTTACTGCATGAAACATTATTTATATTTTTATAATGCTTATTCTAAAAGATTACTTTCAAGGATATTTCAAACATTATTTTAGTTAGATGGCATAATTATGCTAATAAAAGTACTCTTCTGGCTCTACAAATGAGTGTACCACTAGAATTTAAAAGATAAAGGTTGCTATGGGGTTTGGGCATCATAGTCTCAGATGCATACATTAAGTGGGAAAAGGCAGCTGCAATATCACATGGCTGCTCTAAAAACACAGGGAAGGAAAAATGTCAACAAGCAAAGACTTATAGTAACTCCCCTTTCTTGTTCAGTTAATTTTACAAAGGGAACTTAATTCAAAATTCAAATGTAATACATGATACATATATAAAACCTAATTTGAAAGTTAAAAAAATCTCATGTCATAAATATGGTATTTACATATACTCAATAATTTACTAATTTTTACTAATAGAAAAATATGGTATTCATAATCATTTAAAGTTCACTCAGTTATTTTAACAAAGTTGCTAATTTATGTTAATAATTTATTACAAAAGCCAAATGAGGGAAATTCAATTAATTTTGTTACCATAGCATTCAGGTTATTGCTATTGACAAGTCTGCATTATTTAACAAATAATTAAGCTCTATGGTTAATGTGAAAAACTCAACTTTTATAAACCAAACATTCCACTTCATGGACTGCAGAAATAACCTACTGTGCCACAAGGATTAAAGATGGTGATAGGAGAGTAAGAACAATATACCCACTTTTATTCTAAGGGCAAGATCATGCGTACTGGGACACTGATTCACTGTAACACAACCATAACATTTCAAGTACATTACAGAATTTTCATCAGTCAAATTTTAAAAATTTCAAGTAGAAAAAAGTAATTCTAAAATATGTTCCGATCAGTTTAAATATCCAAAAAGTTCAGTCCCCATTCAGAAACAGATAAACAGTATATTTATTAAATGAGTTAAGACAAATAAACTTTACAAATAGACAAATAATAAAAGGCTCAGTGGCTAAAATAGATGGTAAGCATCATTAAAAGAAATCAACACCATCATGGTATCTCAGTTGGCTTACACGTGTAAAAAGAAATTTTCAAAGAGCAGTTTCACAGAAATGAAGCCAGTTTTTTTTTTCTTATAAACAAATCACCATTTCTTGGTTCAAAACTGACATCTGTTATGAAAATTACCATATCACATATTTGTAAGATGACAAGGAGTAACTCATCTTCAAAGTGCAAGTTAAGTCTATTTACAACCACAAAAAAGGCAATGATGAGGAGAAAGGATTTTTAAAAAATATACAAAGATTAAAAACATTTGGGATGCAAAATTAAACAATTTTTTGGTTAGAGGATAAAAGAGAAAAAGTGATTGAATTACAGATGCTGATTTCAGCTATACATATATAATGGGATCCAAGATCTTTAACAGCTTGCTTGCATTTTTTTTTCTACTTACATAATGCTCTGGAAATTTCTGGTAGAAATTACAGTGTCTCAAAGAGAGAAATACACACTAAGTATGTCTTGCTACTACTTCATGGATGTCATAAGACCCGTTTATGGATTAGAGTTGGTGTAAAAAGCCATTGCCTTGAGTTGAAAAATGAATACTGTAAAAGCTCAATACAAATCCTCCAAAGCACATGCACTTCTAAATCTTTTGGTAAATACATTCATATTTAAGCATAACCAAAATTAAAGAGAAAACTGAAAATATCTCCCTTTTCTCTATTCCCTATGCCTTATAGGCTTTTCTAGTTGATAGGGTCAATATTTAGAGTAGAAAGGGTTCTTCGAGTTAGTCTAGTCCACCACCCTCCTTTAGGATTAATGATTTTCCCAAGGTCATGCAGCACGTTAAAGGCAAAACCGGTACTAGAAACCAGGTCTTGACACCTAGCCTGGTATGCTTTCCAGCATATCATGCTATCTCTTTTTACAGTATAATTCGCATAAATACCTGATAAATAAATGTACAATTACAAATGCTGACAGAGCCAATGTGTTTCTGAGACTTGCAGAGGATTACTGCAAAGGATTGATGGAGAAAAAAAGATTTTCCCCCACCCACCAAAAATATCAAGCACCATCAACTAAATGTTTCTTTGCTGGGTCAGATGTTGTAGTAGTCCTCGCGTAAACTTTATGTCAGCCTGAGGATTGTATACCTGGTGAAATCTGGGCCCTAACACAATGCCAGTTCCTAAAAGGTAAAGACAGAGGCAAAAAAGGGGGGAAAGTAGACAAAAGAAAGAAAAGACAAAGAATCGAATTGGCTTAGAAATGGGCATTCCAGCATATGGTTAATTATTATATCTATATATGACCTTTTTCATCTTTTCATATCATCTCATTTTACCTAAGTTGTTATTTGGCCACTTAAGAATTAAAATAAATGTATCAGAGACAATTGTGGTCAAAAAAACTGTGAGACTATTTTAGACAAACTAAACTCAATGAAGAATATGTTGAGTGGTGAAATTGTGATAATTTTCTTAATCTGGTTCTACTAGATTATCACCTAGGAATTTAAGCAGTACTTCATAGGGCTGTTATCACCTTGAAACTTATTCCAATTGTGGCTAAAAAGAACAGACTGTTGCACCATATATGCAGAATTGAGTAAAGAAGCTGAAATGCCTTTTAAAAAAACATTGCCGTGAATTTATTTAATAAAAGGGAGATTTATTTATGTTTACAAACAAGTTTCAAAAACAAAAGGAAAACATGTATGCTTCTACTTATTAACCTTTTTCAAAATGCCAACAGCCCTCATGCTGTATGAAGGTTTCTAAGGATTTATTAGAAAAATCAATACAGTTCACTCACAGTTCACCAAGACATCACTGAACTAACATGTTTAGACAAAAACATAAAGGACTAAGGTTCTCTTGTGGTCTGAGAGCTTGATTTACTTTGATTTGCCTGAAACAACAAAAGCATTTCAAGCATCTTTCATTATGCAGTTGATGTCCCACATTAAACAATCTACCAAATTCTGAACAAAAAGGTTATTAGCAAGTTTTCAAAAATTTTAAAAATTAAACAGTTGTTTCAAAACCATTAAGTAGTAAATGTATTTAAGAAACTAATTAGAACAGATGCCATAACTTTATTAGAACACCACTGCTCATGTTTTTTTTTGTTTTGTTTTGTTGTTTTTTTGTTTGTTTTTTTAAACAAAGCATTAGTGTTATCTATTTGGCTATTAGTATTAGCAATTTATCTACAATATTTAACAAGGTAAATTGTAGGCAAAAATTTAGTACAGTTTCAATAGAAACACCCTTTTTTAATTTTTCCTGAAAATAGAGCAGTATTTGAAGGACTAATTTTTCTCTGCATCAGTGATAAGGAAGCTTCCCATCTATGAACAGGAACAAAAAAAGTATCTACAAACCTTGTAAACAGATCTGTATCATTTATAAACATAAATAATCCAATTTATTAACAGCCAACAGCAGAAATTAAAGTATCAATTCTATGATCCAGGGCTCTTTGCCTGCCCAGCTTTACTCCTCCCTCTCTCCCATCCAGGGTTGAGATAAACTAAAGCTCTCCTAACAAACTGTTCAGGACCATTCTTAGTACTACCGATGATCCACAGGTCCACTTATGCTGAGTTACTGTTCATCTGTCAGTTCATTTCTCCCACCCCCCAAAAAGCACCCTCAGTCTGGCAGAAAGCTTTGCGTTTTTTTAAAAAAATAAATCTACATTCGTACAAGTGTGTCTTCTGTTGAAGTCCAAAGACAAGAATACTATCTTGTCCGTCACAATATGTGAAGACCCAGTTTCAATTTGTTTCTTTACAATGCAGCTAGTGTGTTAGCATTCAGCTTACAATCAGAGTGCTGTTTCCAGACTATGTAGTGGGCTTCCTGGGGATGAAGAGGTAGCAGACTTGTTCATTTCTATCGTAAGGTAAATCCCGCTGTCAACAGCATTGTTATTTTTGTTGGGAGAGGGTGGAGGGCTGGAGTTACGTTTTGTAGGAGCATCATCTTCAGCATCAGTGTCATCAATAAGGGGGATATGAGGCTCTGAATCTTCTATCCTAAACTCAGGATGTGTCATAAAGTTGTGAATCGAACTTCTTGATTCCGGTTTTTCTAACCCTTCATATAAAGAACTACGAAATGCATTCACCACTCGAATCTGTAAATACCAGGAAACAGAAAAATGTCAGTACGCTATTAGCTTAACCAAAAGGTGGTGCATTTATGAGTCTGAATCCACAAACAGCTAGGTATGAGTGAATCATATTTGCATGTAATGCAGTGGAACTTGCAATACACTGTAAAAAAATGAATATTTTAGTAGGACACTACAAAACAACAAAACCACATACTCTAAGAATTAAGAGATAAGAATTTGAAGTAATATTAAGAAAATCTCATTGTCACTGGCTAAAATTTAATAGCCATTTTATAGGATTTTTTCCCCTAAGAAAACAAAATTGAACAATAAACAAACAAAACAAAAACTTAACCATACACAAGCTTTAGCTGATTTAAAAAAAAAAAAAGTAAATTTGAAAACAATTTAAATAAGTTAAACGAAGTCAAGCACAGAGGGTTATTATTTATCATGCTAGGAATTAGGGTGCCACCAACTATGAAAAAGCCAAGCAAATATAAGCTGAATGCCACAATGAACTCACATCTACCCCACTATTCCCATGGGGTGTAAAATAAAAGTAAAGACAAAGCCCAAACAAATATCTATAAAATGCCATTAAACAGCTATAAATATTTGAGTATATGCCATTTGTCTATGAAGTGTTTTTCTCTACAATAGGTTAAAACTTAAATCAATTTATATATTATAACTCACTAGACAAAACTGACTTAAAACAAAAACAAAAACAGAAAGACACTCTCTGGGATTTTTGTGTGAAATAATTTCCAAGGAGAAGACACAAATATTTTTGTATCTAAACATATAGCTTAACAATTCACTCTCTTTCACAGAAGTCTGCTGTATGGATGAAGAGAGATTACTGGGCAAAGCAACTAAAAAAATATCACCACACAAACTGACATTAGGTTTCATTCATTAATCCACTGTCATGCAGACTTTCAAAAAAAGTGGATAAAATTCAAATAGTTGAACATCTATATATCAATCTAATGAATCCTGTTTAATGAAGACATCACTTACTCATAAGAAAAGTAACCAACATTGACATTCCAGATAAAAAAAAGTAGTCACCAAAATAATCTCAAAATAATAATAAAATTAATAAATTTCAAACAGACATTTGAATGTATTTTTTCATAAATATTTTAACATATCCATCACCTCAGTTACCATTTGTGTGTGTAGTGAGAAGTCAGACTTCTACCCTCAGAGAAAATTCAATTATACAGTATACTATAGTCACCATCCTGTACATTAGGTCTCCGTAACTTACTCATCTTGTATAACTCAAACTTGTTACCCCTTGACTAACTTCTCCCCACTCCCCCCTATCCTCTGGGAACCACCATTTTACTCTCTGCTTCTATGAATTTGACTATTTTAGATTCTACTTCTGAGAATTTATCCAAAGGAATGAAAATCAGAATCTTGAAGATATACCTGCACTCCTATGTTGCCTGCTGCATTACTCACAATAGTTAGGGCATGGAAACAACTTTACATGTCCATTGATAGGTGAATGGATAAAGGAAATGTAGTGCATTTATACAATGGAAGATGATGCAGCTTAAAAAGCAAGGAATCCTCTCATTTGCAACAGCATATGCTCAGTTCTGATTAAAACCTCATCTCTCAAAGTTGTCTTGCCTGATTTACTAGGTCCTGTGTGGGGGCTGCGTTACAACTTGTTCACTCAGCCCTTTATACAGAGAAAAAGAGAATAGCATAGTCGACATAGGAAGACAGAGGTGAAATGCCTGAGTGTGAATTCCAGCTCTGCCACTTACTAGCTAAGTGATTTCCTCAACTATAAAATGGGAAATAACAGTGGCATCAACCTTATGGGGTTGCTAAGGGAGATTAAATTAGTTTGTACATATACACACTCAGAACAGTGTCAGCTCCCAAGTATCAACATCAGGGCTTCTCACACTTTAATGTGCACAGGAAGCACCTGGGTTCTTGTTAAAATGCAGAGTCTGACTGGGGGTGGGGGTGGGGGGGGGAAGACCCTGCATTTCTAAGAAGCTCCCAGATACAGTAGAATCTCTTCGTCCATAATTCACACTTTGAGCTGCAATCACCTACTCTACTTGTGGTGCTACTTTATATCATATGCTAATTTATAATTCTGTCCTATCCTTGTGTTTATACTTTAGTCCCTTCACTTGGCAGACTATTACCAGCAAATAGATTTTCCATTTCCTTTACTGATGTTCCGCATTTACTAAGACATAGTGTTTTACATATGGTGTGAAAACAATGCCTACTAAATATACCATTATAATCATTCATTTAATTGTTTTTTAATGTGAAATCTTGCAAATTTTACAATTCATACACACACACACACACACACACACACACACACACACACACATTTAACAAGTATCCCGATCGTCCTAATAATAAACTATGCAGTTAAAAAAGCAAAAAGATAACCTCCTCAAAAAAATAAAAATATCTGTTGGTGTCAGTGGTCAGTAGGCACAGAGAACACACATTGGAGGATCAGCCAGCAAACCTGGGTGGGTGATGAGAGCTGTCCAAGAGGACCCTGGAGTTGTTACTTCCTTGACTTGGTTGCAGACAATGCTGCTAATAGAGCTAGAGAAATAATTAAGTTTTCTGTTTTGTTTTGACCAGTGTGGGTAGAGGGGAATAGTAAAGAATCAAGGGGGAAATAAATCAATTTATGGAATATGTTAAATTTGAGGGGCTGCAGAACATCCAAGTGAAGAAAGTTAGAGCTCAGGAGAAAGGCTTGACTTAAGTTGGTGATGTGGGCGTCAGCAAAGCTCTAGGAAGGGCAGTCTGAAGAGCAGTCAGTGTGTGCGCACATAATCACATACACAATCCGTGGCAGGTACGATTACATTCTTTTTTATCAAAATTTTTCAATGTTTAAGAAAATTTTCTTTCTGAAAGAATTTACTACATTATATGAGAACATCAGGGGTTGAAAGGTTACTCGAATACTTTCTCTTAACCACTTTATAAATGGTGAAACTGAGCATCCAGGACGGGTGGTTGACCTGTCACATTACTCCTAATCAGTATCAAAATGTCTTGGAATCAAGTTTCCTGGACTCCCAATTACAGGTTCTTTGGAAGTAAGAGAACACGTGGACATTAACATTATAGCTAACTTCACTAGAATAAAACACTTTCTAAGGTTAAGGTTAATGCTGTCTTCCTCTGACTTCACTACTTGGCCACATGATGACATGACATATAAAGGACAGCTCCGAATCCTCCAAAGCAAAGCCATTTCAAAGAACAGTTCTCACATTAGATACATATACAACTAGTAAAATCTAGATTACTCAGGGGTCATTGAAGCAGATTCATTTTACTTTCTACTCATGAAGAACATAAAGAAAAAGCTGATCTACACTCGCTGTGATTTCTATTACCTTCTAAATGTACAATTTTCACAGTACAGTAATTCTGAGTAACTAAAAAGCACAACTGTGTGCACAATACCTTAGGTAGGTAGGGAACTATTTTACTACTATAATGAATTCAGTTTAAGCAGAAAAATAACCTTAATCAGCATTCTTGACAATCCAAGCCTTATTGTTTATTTTATCCAGTCTTTCAACAATTCCTTTAATATGTATTGAGACCTCTGATGCAAAACATGATTATAACTCCTAAAATTATTAAAATTAAGACAAATCCAATAATTCCTATGTAAAACATATTTTAAAGGGTAAATTCAGAGGAAAACATTGCACGAAGCATATGGCAAACAAAAAAAAAATCAGTGATTACCGTAATCACAAAGTAATTTTAAGAAACTGAAAATGATTATCAGTTTACATTACATACATTAAATTTAAGTAATAAAGCAAAACAAAACCATGTACCCTGCTAAACCACCAATTTTCCTAAATATAGTCCTAACTTTTGACAGCAGAACATAATAACAATATTATTGCCTAAAACATGATGTGCATGGTTAGCTCTAAAATTTGAGACCATTTTAGTCACTAGCTGATGTATCTTATCTTCTGCAACAGATTGCCCATTTCTGAAATTTATATTCATCATTACTTTTACTATGTGCACTAACAAAGAACAGCAATGGTAAAATAAAAGATACTATGCAACAAGAAAGAAAATTCTAGGTTGTTTTCCAAAGTTGGGTATTTTCACATCAAATTTTCTCAAAGTAAGACCATCTTGTGTGATGTTTTACTTATCTGGAATAGAGGTTGGCAAACATTTTCTGTAAAAAAACCAGAGAGTAAATATAGCTTTTGTGAGCCATATGGTCTCTGATGCAATCCCTGAACTCTGCCAGTGAAGTGCAAAAACTACTACAGACGCTACTTAAATGACTGGGCAAGACTCTGTTCCAATAAGAATTTACTTTCAAAAACAAACCACAGGCCACAGTTGGTTCATAGGCTACAGTTTACCAACCCTTCACCTAGAAAACCAGACTTTCTCTCAATTTCTCCTTTCCAGGAAGGTTTAACTATTAATTCAGTAAAAGAATTTACTAATGGTAGAGACCAATACTAGAACGATACTTTATAAGTAAAGACAAACTATGGAGTGTTTTCTCTTGAGATCTTTAGGGGTAAAACTGACTAATAACAGAGGGAAAAAGATGATCTCTCCAGAGATGTTTCAAGTGTAGGATATGACAAAGTTGAAATGGGTTATTTCTTCCATGTAGCAAAGCAAAGATTCCAAATAACAGTCTAAGAAGTTTGACATCCACAGACAGTTCTAAGACTATTCTATATTAGGGCAGGAAACAGTGAGGTAATCAAACCTTTCATTACACATATTAACACTAATAATTAATTCTATATATTAGCTGATGTTCTGTACTACCACCTAACACAAGGCTTCACCAGGAAGGTTAAAAGGCATTTATAGTAACAGCAATATAATTACTGCAACTGGTAGTATACAATGATAACCTCCTGAACAAGAATATACAACAGCCCTCAATACCTCCTTATGTTCCAAGAACACAGAATATAGAATAAAGAAATAAACATCTCAAACCTTGATGAAGCAACAACTACACACTTGCCCTCAATACCTCTATCATTTTGGTCACATGCACCCAGCAATTCAGAAATCCCAGGCATATTTATGCATCAGAAAAGAGCCTGGGGCAGGTGTGGATGAGTATGTCTTAAAACAAAGTTGGTGACTGATCTGATTATTTAATATAAGGCTGGAACACAATTATACAGAGAAATGTATTAAATATAGTATACCTAAGGTCATGTGATACCCCTACAAATAAAAAGTCAATAATTTAAAATTTTGCTAATATAAGAATAAACAGAATACATGCCACCCAGGCATGCAAACTTGTCAGGAAAGTTTAACAGGAAGCGAATCATGAGGAAACAAATTTAGAATGTAGGCTACCTTACAAGACAATTGGCTTGGATTCTTCAAAGAAGTAAATGTGCTGAAAAATAAAGGTATAAAAAATGGATCTAGATGAAAGGAGACTAGAGACTCCTAACATATTGTCGATGATCTTTTCTTGAATCCTGTTTCAAAAAAAGACATTAAGGACATTTGGGGGAAAATTTATATAAGAGACTTCTTATTCTTAACAGGTATACGCTGAATTAAATATTCAGAGATGAAATGTCATGATATTTGCCACTTTCAAATGGCTCAAGAAAAAAAAAGTATACATTAATATATAAAGCAGGTGTCATGAAATATTAAGTGGTAAATCCAGATAAAATTATTCATCTATTAATCTTTCAACTTGTCCATTTGAAATTTTTCAAATTTAAAATTTTGAGTGCAGGGAGACTCTTTCACGATAGAGTCTCATTTCGGATCCTTTTTACAAGATATAAACAAATCCTTACCATCTATTCCAGCCTCATTACTCCTTACATCTCATTACTCTCTTAGTACCAAACTATGTCACTGAGGCCTGCTTTCCCCAGCTGAGCAAATTTTATCAAGAATCAGCTCAGAAGTCATTTTCTTCAGGTAAATTTTCCTGACTTCCCAGGGTATGATAAGGACCCTATAATAATATTCTGTGTTCTATTACCATGTAGTAATTTTCAACTAGTTTGTTTTGCTTACCAGACTGTAATGTCCCAAGGTTCTAGAATAACCCTGGCATATGGTAGGCTTTCTGCACACGAAACACTAGTGGTAGATGAAGAGATGAGTTGTAATAAGCCCTCCAGAGTCAGGAATCATGTAAAATCCACAGATATACGGAGGGAGGGATGCAACTGTCCCAGGCATAAGGTCAGGCCATTTACATATACCATGTCTTTCAGGTAGGTAGTATCAGGGGAGGCTTTTTTGTTTGTGGCTTGTTTTAAGAATAGTTTATTGATCTTTAGAGAGAGAGGAAGGGAGAAGAGAGAAACATTGATGTACGAGCGCAACACCAATCGGGTTGCCTCCTGTATGCCCCCTACCGGGCATCGAGCTGGCAACCTGGGCATGTGCCCTGACCAGGAATCCAACCGGCAACCTTCTGGTGCACAGAACGATGCCCAACCAACTGAGCCCCATCGGCTAGGGCTCAGAGTAGTTTTTGAAAGAGATTCCTGTCTGTCCTTGTCTGTAACTTTAGTGCCCTGTCCAATGTCACAGGGCAGTTTGTCCTTAGAGCACTCGCCTGCTCAGTGCTCTACATCATGCTGCCTCTGCTTATTAGCCATGAACAAGTCATTTCAGCTCCAAGTCAGTTCTCACAGTACAACTGGGAATAGTTCCTGTTCTGCCTGTTTTACAACATGTCAAAAATAACAAATGAAAATTACTTAAGCAAACAGTGAACAAAAGGCACTGAATAAACAGTCCTCCGTAGAACAGCATTGTTTTCTCCATCAACTCATCCTCTCTCTAGCTTTCCAAGGTTCCTCTGGTCCTTAACTGGCTAAAGACCAAATAACAAAGACAGGTCTCTCCCCAAAAGAAGATTAACCTTAGGTACTTCAGCTGACTTTGGGGGTGGGGGTGAGGGGTACGTAGGCTTATATCTTTAGTGTCTCCAATATACAGAGAATCTACCACAAAATCAAGTCCCTAATTCACAATAAGAACAATATAGGCTTTTGGGGAGTTTGCCATTTACTAAAAACCCGTTATTCTAGTCAGTTAATGGAAAGTATGACATGAAATAATTAATAGCACATTTCCCCTACTTCTTTGGAAAACTTAAAATAAAAGATTATTTCTTATCTAGGATACAATTTTAAATTACATGGATTACACAAATGAAAGGAAAAGGTAAATACCACACAACTATGAAGCTTACACAGAGCCCCTTACGCCAAGGGGGAAAAAAAAATCCAAAACAAGGCTGCAAAGACTAGGCTAAGAAGGCAAACAATGGGTATATACTGAGAACTTTTCTTCTTACTTTCCAACCTCAATAAGATAAAAGTCAAAATGCTAAATTCATTTTTAGCTTTAAAAACACAGTTTCTTGGTTCTGTTAGGTCAGCTTACAATCACATGCTTCTGGGGCACCATGCAATATAAACATGTTTAAAGGCATATACTCAAAAATTTATAGTAGTTTCACAAATTCTAAGCTACAATTTTATTCCCCATATTAAAGATCAGAGTTAGCATAGAGACAAGCTCACAGATTTGATATCTAATCTTTGGTTGCAATTGTTCCACCTGTTATCTAGCCCTCTAAAAAAATAAAAGAACAACAATGACAACACTTTGAGGTCTCAATCCACTTTACGCAAAGAAAGCTTTATGAAAAGCCTGAACATGAATTTAAACATTAAGGAGAAAATGAGAAACGTTAGGTGTGTGAAGTAGGAAATGTTAATTTCATGCACTTAGGAACACACACTCACACCCCACAGTAGTAGAAGCAGTAGAAGAGGAAAACACTACATGTGTAGGGGTAGAAATATTTGTTACATCATGATGCTGGCTGGCGATGGAGGGTTGCCGCCTTAGAGCCCCCTGAATGGAACTTCCACTCTGGAAAGCATTCACTACATCCATCTGCAAGGAATCAGAGATTGTGACAGCTTGCTCAGCAAGAGAGAGAGAGAACAAGAGAAAGGACCATTCCATCTATCAACATATAAAAAGTAAAGAAAAAAAAGGCACTTTTTACAGAGCAGATAAATAGGCAAGAGGAGTATTTTGTGATGAAGGGGGGGAAAGCTAGGAAAAAAGGAGCTTAGGGGCATATAGACACATTCTTTCATGATCAGTTAAAACTTTCACTCATTCCAGGTAACAGAATTATTTTTCAAAATAGTAAGTTTTGTGGGTTGGGAGGGCTAGAAAGGAAGTTAAGGAGTGTTCAAACCTCCTCCCCAATTCCAAAGCCCTGGCTGGCTCCCATGCCCATCACCTCTCCTACCTCTCTCCAGGCCCATACCTGCGTCTGGATTCTGTTCAGACCTCTAAACCACAAGATCTGGCCACGCCGCAACTCCCTCTCAGCGTGGTCAATTTCTTCCACGTCCTCTGCTAACTCCTCCTCAGGTATTTCTTCCTTTTGGGTGCCATGACCAGCTTCTTTGAGGAATTTTAAACGGCTAGTTGGAATTGTTGAAATAAGCTACAACACAGGGGAAAGAACTTGAAATAAATCATATCAAGTATAATTAAACTGATCAACTTCAGTACGAAGGGAATGAAAAGGTGCAAGCGTAGCCAGCTAACTTCACCAATGAAGCAATGAGATCCTATCCATCGGAGGCTTTTTTTCTAAAAACAAAAAAAATTCCTCTCTTATCTGCACAAAAGATTTAAGTCTGAAGGGTGAAAGTGTTCCTGAATGGAAATAACCTGATTGCAATTTTTCATACTTTAGGACACTGATGATGGTAAATTTTAAAACCATTCTTTGACATGTATTTACTTGAACTCATATTAGTTATATTTATTTCAGATAAAATAAAAATGGCAAATAGTCTTAATAGATGAAAAAAATGGTATTTCATTAGTGCTTTAAGAATTCAATGAGAAAAAACATACCCAAATTCCAAAAATCTCTAAGGTTAAACTAAAAATAGTGTTTTGTTTATTAAATGCACTAATTTTTATAAAAGCAACTATTTAAAAAATTGTGTTAACACTGACTGATAATGACACCAAACAGGAACAGATGCCCCAGAAAACATAAAGGATATAAAAACACAAACAAATATTTATTAACATAAAGATGTTAGCAGCCATTCCTTAAAGAAGTTGGGCTTATCAAAGGGAAACAAGCATGCAACCAGAATAAAAACTGCTTAGGGAATTTCTAGGCCATCCACCTCATTTCACAGAGGTGAAACAGGCTCAGAGCCCAGGAGGAGACTTGCTCATGGAGTGACTAAGACCCTAGGTCGCCTAAGCACCAAATCAGTGCTTTCTACCATCGCACTTAAATTCATAGACAATGTCAACCAAAGAAGGTAACTGATGCCTGTTGGGTATGTATGCTACACTGAATTTCCTCTTCCTGAAATTAGCCAGATTTGGGGTGAGAGTGTGGGTTCTGTTCTGCCTAGGAGAGAACATTACATAATAATTAGAATGGTAATGAAAAAGGAAAGGTGGACCACATATGGAACCACTTGAAAGAAGATCTCTATTAATGAGGTATTCAAAATGAATAAGAGAAACCTCAGAACCTAGAAGCACAATTAAAAAAAAAAAAGGTGAGACAAAAGATTAACTTCAAAAACCTGGAAGTTGTCTTGCAGAACGACAATAAATTAGTTTGCTCAAGTTACACACCATAACATGATGTTAACCTTCATTTATAAAAATGTTGGTATAGATTCTCTACCAGTTAATTTTATAGTAATGGCAATGGGCTTCCAATGAACATACACACCATCAACACTTCTCTTTTAAAAATGATGACATGTACTTGCATAATCAAGTCAGCTGCCTATAATAAAGACGAGGTATATCTCATTTTTCAGCCATTGTATTTTATATACACACTGTAAAACCATTCAATTCAAATAATTTAAAATGTCATTTTGTGGCCCATTTTTTCCAGATACCAATATTTTTATGGAAACATTCTCTACATAAACTGAAGCTCAAGGTTTTTCCTATGCTACATATTGGATTAAACTACATAAAAAATTATATAGTGTAAAGAACATAATATTTTATATTTTTTGTACAAATATTTATTCTAAAATGCAAAAATAAGTCATAGAGCAAAAGATACAGATATTAGAATCCTAACCAGTTACAAATGCATTATTATAATACTGATGTAAAACTTGTTCAAAAAAACAAGTTAAAAAACGATGTCAGAAATTTAAATAGTGTTTTATTATACAGGCATAATTGTAATAAACAGCAAGTGACAATTTAAAGCAAATGTTAGATTTAAAAAAACCACATCCCTAACTGCCCTTTTTGCCCTAGAATGGTAACTACTTAAAATCAAGTACAGAACTGCTTAAAGAAAATACATACTAGAAATTTTTTTTAAAAAAAATCACTTAAGGTTTGAACAAGAAATGATGATGTTTTTACCTGGCCCCAGAGTAACGTTCCCATTCCTAGGAATACTGACCATAGCCACTGTTCTATGGAAAGTTCTGAACAACTGAAAGGTTTTCCACCAAACTGCACAATTATTATCTGGAGGAATAATCAAGAGTAAGTTTATTTAAATCCTTTACATTTCACAACTCAGATACTTCAAAAATCACCCAAATTTGTGTCCTCTAAAATTTAAGCTAAACAACCATTATTCTGTTGGTGACATGTATAATACTCACAGCTGAATATAAGACAAATAAAATAAAGTAAAATCCCTTTGTCCAAAATTTTAAATGCAGGTATTATTTCCTGCTTAAATTATGCTTACTAAAAATTAAAGAAAAATAATTCTCATGATCAAAAAGATAACTTTATACTGATTTTCAATATAATCTCAATAAACTACATTCTTCTGTATTTAGTACAACTCTAAATAATTTATGCCTTTCCATAAGAGATAGTACTTTTGTAGAGAAGACTGTATGGAAAAGTGAACATAATATTCAATCTTTTTTACTTTCCTTCTAATTGCTACTCACTCCTGGTTAATAGTTAGATGTTAGGACAAATATATGGACTGTTAGAGAAGAAAAGCAAGTTGCAAGTTCTATGAAATATGTGCTAACACAGGTGGTATACCCTCAGAAATTTGCTTTCCCTTATAAAAAGTCCAATGATCTGCATAAATAAAATTCATTATTACAGTGATTATGTTTCCCTACTTATTGTAAGGAACCTAAAACAGTGTATATAGGAATATTAAGAGTTAAGCAACATTATTCACCCTTTTTTTGATATGGCAGTTAGTAGTTGCCAAATATTGGTATTAAAAAGAATCATTTTGGTATTAACAGTTTTTAAACTTTATTTTTGAGAGCTATGAAATCTAGTCTTTGTAGCTGAACTTTATTCCAAACTCAAGTGATATGTACTGGTCAGTTCTACTGTTCTGAAAGTCAAGGTTATTTGTATCCTTGTACAAATAGATTCCCAACTGTGGTTTTTTTTTTTTTTAGTAGCCCAACCAGTTGATTATAAATGATTTGGCAATTTAGCCTGGATTTTAAGAGAGATATCTATAATAACTTTCTCTTGTGTACCATAAAAATGAGCATAGAAAAAAACTCAACATTTGTGTTTTTTCAACTTAAAAAAGTATTTAAACAGTACCCTTTTTTTAGTATAATGAGGCATGTGAAAAGGATATTAAGATGTTGGGGAAACAAATGATTAATATGTTTAGGTATGTGGCATAAGAAATAATAATCTTTTATTTTAGAGTTGAAAGAAATAAAATTGTCTAATTAATAGTGGAATTTACTTCTAAAAATAAGTTTCCATATTCTTTAATATACTGCTTAGATGGACTACTACTGATTGTGCATTTCATTGTGCTGAAGCACTTCCTAAATGTGTGCTAAGGGAATCTAGCATTAGGTGTTGCCTTCTAAATTTAGAAGGGGCTGGATTATACAAAGTTCAACGGGTTTCTTGACTGAAGGATTTTCCAAAGCCTTTGAACTGTTAATTTAAAAAAAGAAAAGAAAAGGAACAGCTCAGATGTGAGTGTTTTCTTGCAAACACCAAAGCTCAGAGCTTCAAGTGCAGTATCTCTCTTAATGCTTTAGTTAGTTCTATGACATGACCTAATTAATATTAATGTCCCCATTTCACAGACAAAGAAATCATAGCTTGTTGAGGTCACACAACTACTGAGGCAGCATTCTGCTGTGATGGACCCCTGTGTTCATCTCATAAGCACTATGAGCATAAGCATCATCTCATAAGCATATGATACCTAAGCATTAAGAATCTCCAAGAGGTAAGCAGAACAGGCAATATTTCCTAACCTTATTGAGATAAGAACAACTCAAAAGATTAGTGTTTCATAGAACATACTTTGAAAACACTGGGTTTTGAGTCAATTACTACCAAGTAGAAAAGAAACTAAAAATATTTACAAAGAGTTAAGGATTATTATGTACTTCATGATCTGTCAAAAAAAAAAAAAAAAAGTAAAAATAAGAATCAGCTGGTAAATAAGAGACAAATTAACTTAAATATAATTTACTAGAGGCCCGGTGCACAAATTTGTGCAAGGGTGGGGTCCAGCTGTCCTACCCTGATCAAGCTGATGGGGCCAGGCCAGCCAGGGGAGGGACTGTGGGCGGATGGTTGGCTGGCCAGCCCCGCCTCCTGGTTGAACTCCCAGTCGAACTCCCAGTTCAGGGTACAATTTGTATATTAGCTTTTTATTGTATATGATGATAAGGTGAAGTCCTTTAGGTACCTCAGATCTACAGTCAAGACTTTGGCTATTCTATATACAAAGGTTCATGTTTCCCACTCAGCTTACAGTCTACAAAAGTGCTATTGAAAGTGCTAATCCATGACAAGAGGATAAGGAACACACACTAGAGTTTAAATCAATGCCCTATTTGCACAGTGCTGCTGCTGCTACTACTGCTAAAAATAACACCCCTCCCTTCCCTGCAACACCACAAAAAAAAAACAAAACTCTCATCTGAAATACACAGTGTGAGTAGTGAAGTTGTTCATTTATATTCTGGCCCGTGCTCATCTCACTGTGGACTTGCAATAAAGTGGCTGTGGACCAGTGGCTGGCCCACAGACCACACTGAGTAGCACTGGCATGTTTATAAGGCACTAGAGAGTGACACCTTAACATGAACTGTTTTAGGCATATCAACCTTTGTCAGGATTTGCTTGATACAGAGATATAGGCAGTTAAATTTTTGTAATTCCTGTATTTTAATAAATCTAATTTTGTAGCAAGTAAATGCTAAAACTTTAGCATGTTATGAACAATGATTTTTGTAAAATCTAAATAAAATATTTCGTAAATGATGTAACAAGTAGGCATCATCTCTCCTAAAACTTATAGAAATTGAAAGCTAACAGAAATAGGTTTTACAGAAATAATTAAGTTGAGGGTTTTCGTTTCGGTATCCATAGTGCACAAGGTATAGGCTGAATAAAATGCATAAAAAGCTCACTTTTTAATTTTAAATCTTCCTGGTGTAATTATGTACCATTCATTTACCTGTTCTGATCCCAGATCCAACTATACAATCATTTACACAATACCACAAAATACAAGATGATATAAAAACATAGCTATAATACATGGTGATACAAAATCACCATATGCAAAGTCATCATTAGTTTTGTTCTTAGAATGATTTCTGAAAAATAGGGAAATTTTCAGTCCTTCCTATTCATTCCTAATTGCACTCCTCACACCCCATTCTCCACTCTTCTGCCTTGTTTTGACAATACTACAAAATGAAATATTGACATATGAACATATTGAACATATTGACATATGGACATATTGAAATATGTCCAACTCAGAATGCAGCCATTCATAATCACATGGAATCTAAACATTCACTTTAAACCTTTTATTATTTTAACATATAATTTAAACTATAGAAATAACCTGCTATTATTTGCTAGAAGCAATTAAGCAAGCCTAAAAGTAAACTGTAACATTTACCTTAAATAGTATCAAAGTAATAACAGTTTTGATAATAATGTTATAAAATGAAACAATCAGAATTAGACTGTGAGATATCACAACCACAGAACCCATAGTGCAATTAAAGTAGCATTAGCCTAAAGCAGGGGTCCTCAAACTACCGCCCGCAGGCCACATGCAAATACAAATATTGTATTTGTTCCCGTTTTGTTTTTTTATTTCAAAATAAGATATGTGCAGTGTGCATAGGAATTTGTTCATAGTTTTTTTTTAAACTATAGTCCGGCCCTCCAATGGTCTGAGGGGCAGTGAACTGGCCCCCTGTTTAAAAAGTTTGAGGACCCCTGGCTTAAATTAACATACTCTTCTCATATGTAGAATTTCAGGAAAGGGCAATTTTTCACTTGAGTTAGGATATTTAAAACTTTTTAAATGTCATCAAAGCAATACACAGAAGCCCCACACATTACAGTCAAGTAATTTCTGGAACAAGCCACCTGTTTACCTAATATCTCCCACATAATAATCAAATTTGAAACTATCTTTTCCAATTACCCACCTGTACCACAAAAGTGCCTAAAACAATTGTGCAGAAGATGATATTATTAAAGATTCCTTCAAACACATTTCTTTCACCATGAATTTTCCGGGCATTTATTTCGTTGAAAAGTTGCATCAGCACAAATGTATTAAAAACAATAGTGTAATGTTCCGAAGGCGGTGCATGCAAAGGAGCATTTCTTCCACTATCAATATCAAAAAACTTTTCTCCTGAAAGAATGAAAGATTATTATTTTGTAATTGTCATACAAAATCATTTAACATTTTCAAGGAGGTATGCAACAATAAAACCTAGCCAGACCTTTATCTGATGCCCAAATGACAGCATAGAAAAGAGTTAGAAGGGATCTGGGACTATCTAATTCTCTCTCGTGTTTTATAGATGAGCAAACTGAAGGCCCCAAAACTATTATGACATACGACAGATCACCTACTTAAGTTAGTGGCAGAGTCAGGACAAGCAATCAGGACTCCTTTTTACTCCCACCCCACTCTCTCTCATACTGCTCCCTTGTCCCTCCCCCTCCCCCCCCCCCCCCCCCCCCCCCCCCCCCCGCCCCCGGCCAATGTACTAAGCATACACTGATAAAGAGGAGAAATTAAAGGTAAATGAGGAGTCAAAGAGAGCACAACTTATGTTCTTGAAAAACTGGTAACAAATAATCATCTGAAATATTAGCTTAGACACAACTGAAGCTTTATCAGGCACTGAATTCTTACCAGCAAACAAGAGTGTAAAGACTACTACCAGTTGATAGAATGCATGACCCAAAATGTTCTTCATCATCGTGCGTGAGATGAGAGGTTTATTTCTACCATAAGGTTTCCGAAGCAGGAGAGACTCAGTGGGGGGTTCAGTTGCCAGGGCCAGGGAAGCGAGCGTATCCATGATGAGGTTTACCCACAGCATCTGCACAGCTTTAAGTGGTGAATCCTAGAAAAGACAGATTTCCTGATAGACATTCACAACTATTCAGGGACTCGGCGATTCTCAGGAAGCATTTTGTATTTAAAAACTTAAAGAACAGAATTGGATTGCACTTTTATAGTCATTAACCTAAAATATTAAGCTTCAACCTATTTAAATGTTCAAGTACTTTTAAAGGCATGTTATACACATATTTGCTTTAAAATAAGCAAGCTTTAATGAACAAATTGTCCACCTACTTGAGTAATACAGGCGCCTGTGAAAGCAACAATCACTGCTACGACATTAACAGTAAGCTGGAACTGAAGGAATTTTGAGATGCTGTCATAGACATTTCGTCCCCACATAACTGCTTTAACAATGCTTGTAAAGTTGTCATCTGTGAGAATGATATCAGACGCTTCTTTAGCTACATCAGTCCCAGCGATGCCCTATTAAAAAAATTCCACAGATCAGACTAAAGGTTTAAAATATAATTTTTAATATTCAAAAGGATAATATTCAATTGATCAACTACAAACCACCATTGTACTTAATAATTACTGACTCATATTTACTATAAAAGAAGGTAACAGTTATTCTAAGATACCATCTCTCAGAAATTCGATCTTAGGAGAAATCAAAAATAAAAAAGGTTTGAAAATAAAGTTTAAATTGGGTTTAAAAAGAGGAATGGACACAAGCATTACCCCAGTTCCTTCCAAGGGTCACACACAAAAAATATATTTAAAAATAAAAACTCAAAGACAAAATTAGTGGCAAAGAAGATACTGCAAGAGAATCTTAACACATTGCGGATCACGAGAATTCTTACTTCATATTACACAGTGTTTTACAAAGTATCATACTTTAAAATGTTTTTTGTACTTGTTCAGTAGAAACTTATCTGGCCACTGGGTAAAGCTAGCAATAAAACCACTGGTCCGCTTAAGAGGTTGAAAAGTGGATAACCAAATATTAAGTAACATTAGCAGACCTCCAGAAAACTGAATACAAAGCCAACAGTAGGGAAAGCAGAGACATAGCTGGGTTTTTTTTACACCACAGACCTCTCCTATATAAGCTCAGGACTTGGCAGCACAGGTAGAACTGGCAGTAGGGGTGAAGGTATGATTAAAAATAGGAGGATTTATCAAAAGTCTACTGAAGACACTGAAGCAGTACTTAGATGGTCCAAACTAAGAACAATAATGTCCATCAGCCCTAGCTGGTTTGGCTCAGTGGATAGAGGGTCAGCCTGCGAACTGAAGGGTCCCGGGTTCGATTCCGGTCAAGGGCACATGCCTAGGTTGTGGGCTCGATCCCCAGAAGGGGGCGTGTAGGAGGCAGCCAATCCATGATTCTCTCTCATCATTGACGTTTCTATCTCTCTCTCTCTCCCTCTCCCTTCCTCTATGAAATCAATAAAAATATATTTAAAAAAATAATGTCCATCAATGGTAGGATGGGATGGATCAATGTCATGGATTAATTAAAAAAAAGAGAGAACTATACTATCTACAACAACACAGATGAACCTCACAAGCATAATAACACAGGAAGCTGGACTCAATATTATTCTTCTGTACAAAGTTCAAAAACAGATTAAAGTAACCTTCAGAATACTGATTATCTTTGCAGAGAGACAGGGCAATCATTAGAAGTGAGTGTGGTTGAGGTGCCTGGGGTATAGGTAATACTCTATTCCTTGCCTTGCATAGTTCAGCTTTTTTCATGTGTGATAATCTAGTCAGTTGTGTACTTATGACTCAGGCACTTTTCTGTATGTGTGCTAAATGTTAATAACAAAGTGATAAGAAAGGTAGATCCTCAGAGCCCCTTCCCAAGTCCACACAACCAGGCCATTTGCCACTCCCTCTGATATGGCAAAAAACTGTCTGCTAACTTACAGAGAATGTCTGGACTGAAGGGTACCAAGCACTGTTGAGTACAGGGTGTTATATTGAAGGAGAAAAAAAAAAAAAGGGAGCCCAGCTGGTGTGGCTCAGTTGGTTGAATGTTGTCCCATGCACCAGGAGGTTGCAGGTTCGATTCCCAGTCAGGACACATGCCCAGGATGCTGGCTTGATCCCTAATAGGGGGAGTGCAGGAGGCAGCTCATCAATGAATGTTTTTTCTCTCTCTCCCTCTCCCTTCCTCTCTCTGAAATCAATAAAAACATTTTTTTTTTAAAGGGACCGGGGTTAGGAGTACCTGTGTTTAATGAATGTTGAGACTTTTACCTTTCCTTCTCTACCTGTTTCCCAGGATACCAGTATTCAAGACTGCTCTCTAGGCAGCAGATTTGAAGACTCTTTTCTGGGAAATCTGATCATCTTAAGAGAAAGACCTAAAAATACTGCAATTCAAGGTACCCTAAGAAGTGAAATGACTAAGCCAGATCCCTTTACAGAGAAGCTTCTGGTTGACAAATCCCACCTAAAGGCCCAAGACTTTCCAGCTTTTCAACTTTACACTAGCAAAGCACTAACCTGAAAGACAGAGACTAAACCAAAAGGAAAGTGGAGACAGAGTCTACAGAGACAAACTCATTAAAAAAAAAATTAAATGTTTAGAAAGCTAAAAGGCACATCAATGAGATAAAAACAGGATGTTAAGATGAGAACAAAAACTCAGAGATCCAAAAACAACTCTTGGAAATTAAATATGACTCATAAATGAAAAATAAGTTGAGGAAATAGCCCTGGAAATATAGCAAGACAACAAAGGTATGGTAAACAGGAAAAAAAAAGACAAAAAACCAAGATAAAATGTCCAAGAAGTAAAAAAAAAAAAAAAAAAAAAAAAAAAAAAAAAAAAAAAATCAGGGGAATAGTGCACAAAGAAGGAACAGGTGTCAGGGAGAAGTTGGTGATGAATCAGTGTTAAATACATAGAAAACCTAAGCAAAAATAAATAAAATAAAAAAGAAAGTGAATTAAAAAGACAACTTACAGGAATAAAAAAAGTTGTACAAGGAAATAAAAGGAACTATATTTATCTATCCAAAATTATAACTCTGATAGTAGAATGACAGGGTAGGCAGTGTGCATGAATGTGTACTGGGGTGGATGTTGTGTGTGTGTGTCTGTGTATGTGTGCATGTGGAAGTGCTAACTCCTTCTGTTACTTAATGAAAAGGCAATAGCAAATGCTTTATGTTAAAAAAATAAATAAAAAAGCACTATAATGATGTCATTTCGATATATGAAGGCAAACAGTTAAAATAGTTGGTTTTCTTTAGTGAAAACAATGAGACTAGATGAAATGTTATGTGGTAGGAGACGTAGGTATTTGATTTTTTAAATGCTATGCATATATTGTTTTAATAAACACAAAAAGTTTAAGTCAAGCTTTTCTTGAAATATTCAATGAAGGAACAATTTTAATTTAAAATTTTAATCTCTAGCTCCTAATCTGAATATTTTTACCTTGAATGTGCAACATATTTAACACATCTAAGCCCAAGAGGTTTCCCTGCCTCTAATCATTCTCCTGTCTTTTACTAATGCAAATCTCATCACTTCTTTGTTCAGAACCCTTCAAAATTTCCAGTTATTAAAATAGTCATAGGATGTAAATGGCAGCAGAGGGAATATAGTTAAAAACATTGTAATAAGCATGTACAAGTCAGATGGTACTAGACTTATGGGGAGGGGGGGAGAGAAATCACTTTGTAAGGTAAATAAATGTCTGATCACTATGTTGTACACCTGAAACTAATATAATATTGTATGTCAACTGTAATTGAAGAATAAACTAAGAAAAACTAGTTCCATAATAAAAAATTTTGGGAAACTTTTCATCAAACAAACAAAAAAAGATAAACAGCTTTTTATGAGCTTCTGTGAGCTGTATACTAACATGCAGTGTGTCTCTAAACTAATTTTATTCCATCAGATGTTGCCTGGGAAAGAACAAACTCCTTATCTTCCTATTTCAAGGTCCTCATCAGGTGGAACCCCCAGTAAATCCTGTTTCACATCCCATTTCCCCCACACCAAACCTTTTTCTATCTATGTTAAAACCACAGTCATGAGCTGCATAAGTGTTTTGGTCAATGATCACATATATGTAATGGTGGTCCCCTAAAATTATAAGGGCGCTGAAAAATTTCTATTGCCTTGTGACACTGCAGCTGCTGTAACGTCATATGCACACGTTACTCACACATTGGTGATGATGCTGGTGTAAACCAATCTGTGGGGCCAGTTGTATAAAAGGATAGCACATATATTTACATACAGTACAGAATACTCTATAATGATAATGGTGTGTTACTGCTTTATGTATTTACTAAATCAGACTTTTTATCGTTATTTTAGAGTGTACTGTTTCTACTTACAAAAAAAACCACTTTGCTATAAAATATATGTCATGTTACTCAGCAGCCTCATCCATCTCATTTTGGCCATGTCTCTTGACTACATCATTTTCTATTGTTCTTGATTTAATCTCCTGTTGTTTTGTACAGTAACATGCTGTACAGGTTTGTACCTTGGGAGCAAGAGGCTATACCAGCCGTGGGCAAACCACAGCCCGCGGGCCGGATCCGGCCCGTTTGAAATGAATAAAACTAAAAAAAAAACAAAAACCGTACCCTTTTATTTATGTAATGATGTTTACTTTGAATTTATATTAGTTCACACAAGCACTCCATCCATGCTTTTGTTCCGGCCCTCCGATCCAGTTTAAGAACCCATAGTGGCCCTCGAGTCAAAAAGTTTGCCCACCCCTGATACCATCCAGCCTCGGTGTGTAGGAGGCTATGCCATCTAGGTTTGTGTAGGTGCCTGTGATGTTCACACAATGACAAAATGGCCTAACGACACATTCACAGACAGAATGTATCCATTTTCCACCTTGCTCACTCCTTTTGAAAGGCTGCCACTGTGGTGGTGGTTTAGCCTCAAAATATCCGGACAAATTATTCAAATAAACACTGGTATACATAAATATTCTCTTATCTGAAACCTTTGGGACCAAACTGAATTTCAAAATTCAACCTTTTATATCTTAAAAAGAAAATGAGACACATAACTTCTATCACAAATTCTCCAAGAGGGTGTCAGCACCCCACAAAACATATTAATATCTCTACAACGGCTCCGAATATTCATATTAAGATATGAACACTCTCACATCAGGTCAGGATAAAGGTTTGTAGTCAAATGAGTCTGATGCAAATTTAGGAAAACAATGTCAGTTTTCAGATTTTTGGATTTGAGAATTATTATTATGGACCTGTATTGTCCAAAAATAAAATAAAACTAAATTAAAATAAAATACTTAAATTTTCTATGGCACTGAGAGTGCAAAGATTCATTTCAACACTAAAAACTGGGAGTAATAGATTCAAAGATGTAACAACTTAATTTCAATCATTAAACATTTATGTAGCATATGTATTTAATGATGTCCATGTTATAGTACATGCTTTACCAGTACTGCGGCTACAAGCACCAAAGAACCAGTACAAGATAATAATCCAGTGCTTTAAATAATCAAATCTAAACTGAGAACTTGGTGGGGAGGGGTTCCTATCAAAAAAGACTGCAACCAACCAAAGAACTTGTGTGCATATATGCATAACCCATGGACACAGACAGTAGGGTGGTGAAGGCCTGGGTGGGGGGTGAGGGCAGGATAGAAGGGATCAATGGGGAAAAAAGGGGACATATGTAATACTTTCAACAATAAAGATTTAATAAAAAAAAAACACAAAGAAAATTAAAAAAGATTACATATAATATAAAATGACAATTACTCTTTTCTATTTTTATATAAGCACTTGCAAATTTTTATTTTTAAAACTTAAAAGACTGATACAAAATGAAAACCATGAGATATATTTTGTTTGTCAATTGAACATTTTAAGTTCATATATAAGTGGGGGAAGGTAGAAAAGGGTAAAGGGGTAATATATGACGATGGAAGGAGACTTAACTTGAACACTCAATTACTCTAAAGAGACATTTGCAGTTACATGGAAGATTCTCAATTATTTTTTTTTTTTATCTTTAATATATATAACTGTTCTGAGCTTGTCTCCTACTGAAGGGGATTGTTGCAAGGTTCAGATGAAATGACAGACACTAAAATGATTTACAGAGTATAAGGTAAATGTATGATCTTATTACAATTGTTCAAAAGAAGTCATCCTCCACCCAGAGTTCACTGCATTAGTGTATAAACTAATTATATTTATAAATCAATTTAGACTATATAGTATTCTTCACACTAATCTTGAGAGACAATATCTAAAATCAATTGACATTTAGTAAAAAACAGCAAAACAAACAAAAAACCCAGCCAGTAAATTACACCTGAATAGGTAAGCTCCTACCATTGCAAATCCAACATCAGCTTTTTTCAGTGCCGGACCATCATTTGTACCATCACCGGTTACCGCCACAACCTGGCGTTGGTCTGAGACTGTGCTGTCAATTATACCTAAAATAAAAGTAAATATTTGGGCTGTAAAAACATTCCCTTTAATTAAAAAGGTGATTCTGCAGAATATCCGGAGGAGTCAATTTTACAGACTCAAGGTTAAAAATAAATAACTAAGCAAACATAAGAAATGGAAACTGCTGAGATATTGGGCGAGGAACAACTCCAGAAACAAAGGTTACATTAGGAGCAATATCCTGTTTTAATCACTGAAGGTTAACACATTCACCTAAGGTGTCAAAAAGAAGCATATTTAGATTTTATTGGAAAAGATAATATTCATGATTCAACCCAATATTCATCGTCTATTACTATTTCAGGACACTGAAATAAGATCTACTTACCTTTAACCAGTGTATGTTTGTCAGTAGGAGATGATCTTGCAAGTACTCGAAGCTTTGGCCAAATCTTGTCTATCCGCTCTTGCTCAATCTATAAATTTTTGTCAAAGTTAAAATAAACCCAAATCTAGTTTCATAATCCCAAATAAGTGATCTACGATATGTATCAGTGGTTCTCAAAGTGTGGTTAACAGACTAGCAGAACCAGCAATTCCTGGGAACTTGTTAGAAATGCAAATGCTTGAGGAAGGCTACGGGTTATCTTATTAAATACTCTGGGGTGGGGCCTACCCATCAATTTGTTTTTAAAAGGTTTCCAAGTAACTCTGACGCCTACTCACGCTTGAGAAGTACTGCCATATATATAAGATCAAATTTTTAAAATCTCCCCACTGCCTATGAAAATGGAAGCTCCTAAAATTAGCATGAAAAGTTCAGAGACTTTGGGGACTCTTAAGATATATTTCATATCAACCTTTCCAAACTCATCTCCTATTACTCGCTTACACTATTGCATTTCTGAAATGGGCCTAAACTTAAGAAAAATAAGTGCTCACAAATTTGTACCTTTTCCTAACATGCTTGTGTTTTGTTTGATGAGGAGCTGGATGCATTTACTCATACTTAATGTCTAACATTGTGCATATTCAATATGCATTTGTTGAATGGAATTTCTAATACATTAAAGACACGTAAAAAATCAAAACCCGTACCTCTCCTTTTTCATTTCGTATTCTTCTGTTGAAATCTTTACCTTCTATACATAGGAAATCTTCTCCGGGGTGTAAAATACCACATTTGCTGGCAATAGCCCGAGCAGTATTAATATTATCACCAGTGACCATCCGCACAGTAATTCCAGCCTTCTGACATTTCTTTATTGCATCTGGTACCTGGTTTACATGGAAAGAAGAAATCTGTATTACAAAAGAAAATCAGTATTTCCAGAGAGAAAAATCCCCACTGAACAAATATGCATTACCTCATAGTCCCATAAATGATAACTTTAATTCATTTCAATATTCAGTATTTCTTGAATTATTCCCAATAATCTCTTCTTTCCTCTTCTACTGCCAGTCCTAGTTCAGGCTTCTTTTTCAGTTGTCAGTCAACTTAACCTGTTTGCATTATTTATTTACTAAAGGTTTTTAAAAGCACCTTTCTCCCTGGCAACCATTAGGCAATTCTTCTCTGGATGGCTTCCTACCTTTCTGGTTTTACTGTCCATACAACACCAGAGTAAATGTTGAGGTTCTTTAGAATTATGGGTAGCTCACCTACTCTCAGATCTTCAACGGCCAACTGTGTGCTAGTAACTTTCAAATCTGTATCTTTCCATCTCATTTTGAGAGCTGGAGTCATAGTTTCACAAGAAAAGTGGGCATCGAACTTTGGGTGTCCAAATTTTGCTTTCTAAATCTATTATCTAACAGAAACCTAAGGGTCATCTGACCTCTTCCATCTCCCTTACCCTATATATCTTGATGGGCTATCGATTTTATCTTGTCCCCACTACTTGTTGCTTAAGCTATTGCACCAGCTTTTTAAGTCATATCCCTGTCTTTATGTTTGTTACTCCTTTAAAACATGACATACTTGACAGTTCTTTTTCTAATCCATTTTCTTATAAATATTTGACTCTCCTATTGTTGTATTATAAACCATAAAGTTCTCAGTATAACAGAGTTTTACACTTGAACCTCAGAATACTTTTCTAACTTTATGTAAAATATTTCTCTATTATATATAACTTGATAGATGACTGGTCTACATACTATTTATGTGCGTGTTTCTGCAATTCCCTGCTCTTCTCTAACCAGAAAATGCATGCCGATCCTACCAGAGCACAGGTTGAAAACGCAAATGCAGGTAACATAAAAGAAGGCCATGGAGGTTAACATAAAGAGGAAAACACTCTGAAAGTGACAAGCTCTGAGATGAATACCCAATAAAAGCTACTCAGCTCTAGTCTAATTTTACCATGGGGAAAGGAGTGCCCCATGTTGACAGAACCTACACTTTCAAGAAAAAGCAAAAACCCAAACTTGTGTGTGCTCTCTCAATATTTAATGTTTTAAACACACATGTGACTAAAGGCTTAATTTTGCCTATAAGCTGTTTATGACTTCTATTGTAAATACAATTTAAGTGTGATATCTCTGGGAGCTTTCACGGCCTACTCAGACATATTTGTATCATACAGACCTCCATTATAGCTCATTACATCATACTATAGTTACTTGTTTACCTAAGTTTTCAGCAAATCAATGAGCTTCTTGAGGACAGAACCCTTACCTTCTCATGCTTGGATCACCAATGCCCAGTACAATGCCTTTCATTCATTTAACAAATAAGTGCCTGGCATATAAGAAGAGCATAGAATTTGTTGAACTGTGAATTCAACAACTGTGAAAACGTTCATCCTTGAGTATTTTTCAAGGAGGAGCATATCCTAAACAGGGTACCATTATGTCTTAAAACATGTGTAATTTAATTACTTGCAACATAAGTGAATCTCTAAGTTTAAGGATTTACAATATAAAGTATATCCCTCCATTCAGTCAACTCTAAGTCATTCAAATCATTGGCAAGAAACATCATTTACACCCACCTTTAATATTTACTGAAAGTCAGGCAGTGTGCTGGGTGCTAGTGACACAGAGGTGGGTGAAAGGACAGAGCCTGCCCAGATTATTAAAAAATAAATAAACCAGTACTGGTCTGCTATATAAAAGTAATATATACCCTAATATCCCACTTGAAATAAAATGTAACCCAAATTTGTCCAACTAAGCACCCAGTGATCCAGGGTTATCCTGAGATCACTTGGAATAGGGGAACAATTAATAAGAGAAAGAAACTGGTCTCAAGTTAAAACTATGTGGCAAATAATATTTAAGAATGGCAAACTAACGTTTATTAATTTCCCACTAACCACCAAATACTTCCAGTTAAAATTTAAACTACCTCCGCTTTTACAGATAAGAAACTGAAGAGAGGCTAAGTACCTTGTTCAAGTACCTATGCATATGCAATGAATTTCTCCTAGATATCTAATTAATCCAGATTCTCTACATGAGAACTGCATAGTGCAGAATACTAAGAGAAAGCTGTTTCACATTACACTGCCTCTTTTAGTATAGTAGTACCCATCCAATTTTGTAATACTGAAAAAATTAAGTGCCACTTACATATTTAAAAAAGATAAAACTCTCCATTAACCTCAATGCCAAGAACACAATAGTAATATTTTTTCCAAAAGGAAATCAGTTGTAGACATTCTGATTTAATATTATATTTAGATAAGATTTAAGCCATAAGTCAATGTATAAAACTTTGAATGGTATTGCTTTGACCAAAGGTTGGCAAAAATTATCTACTTTGCCCGACTGTCGTGGCTCAGTGGCAGACTCTGAACCAGGAGGTCACGGTTCTATTCCTGGTTGGGGCACATGCCTGGGTTGTGGGCTCGATCCCGTGTGGGGCATGCAGGAGACAACCAATCAATGATTCTCCCTCATCATTGATGTTTCTGTATCTCTTTCGCTCTCAGAAATGAAAAAAATATTTAAGAAGTATCCCCTTTGGTGTTTTATAAGCATTCGAAACTCCTAAACCCCAAACTGAATTTATCTTGAGCTCTAAACATGCTGCTTCTTCTGATTCTCTTATTACCATCTCAGACCCACCAAGTTATGTAAGTGACACTGATTCCCCCTCTTCTAGAAGATGTCTAATTGTGGAGACATGGCAGTTTTAAATCCTCTTTAGCTACACACTTTCCTCAGAGATCTCCTTTAACCTCAAATGAGAATGCTTCAGCCTCGACCACTTTCAGGCTCCTAGGTCCAAATGCCTACTTGACATTTATTCTGATGTTTCAGACATCTCAACAAAGTTGAAACAGTATATCCAAACCCAGCCTACTCATTCCTATTGGTCCTACCCCGCTTTCCTTTGAAATCACCCCTTTCTTCCTTCTCCTTGTCCACATCTGTGGTTCTAAACCATGATCATCTCTTGCCTGGAATTACTGCAATGATCTTACCGGCTTCCCTGCTTCTACCCCTCTTTATTTCCAGTTCATTTCTTAGCCAGTACCCTAAATAGTATTTTAACAGCATGAATCATGTCATTTCTAGCCAGAATTTCTTTAATTTTAGAATAAAATTCAGAACTCTTATTGCCTAGAAAGGCCAGAGATAATCTCATTGGGCCCTTCTTGTCCAGTTAGCCACACTGACCTGCTTTCCATCTTTGAAATAAATACTGTCTCATCTTCAGGTCTCTGCATATTTGATCCATTTGCCTGAATACTCTTCTTGCAGCTATCTACATGCTGGCTCACGTTCAGCCATCAGATCTCAGCTCAGATGCCATATCCTCAGAGATTGCTAAAGTGGCCTCTCTGTTGCCTTATTTCATCACCCTGTTCTTATTTGCCCTTTATAGTTTTTATCACGTGTGTATTTGTCTTACTAATGTCACTCCTCCCTCCCCGCCCTGACATCCAGAATGTGAGGCCTAGGAGGGCAGGGACCAAGCCTCACAGAATGTATTTCCACTTGGCATATCTATAATTTTGTCTGTTTGTTATCTCACTTTTCTAGAAGTTTCCTGGTTAGTGCAGTATTTCTAGTTCTAAAAGAGTGCCTGGAGAAAAAGAAAAGAGTGGCTGGTACTACACACTGGGGGTTGAATCAATTAGGTCATGGTGATCAAAAGCTGTCTGTGCTTTCACTCACATTGCTTCTTTGCTCAGAATGTGCTTACTGCTCTCTCTCTTGGTTTGGCTTAATACCTCCTCATCCTTTAAGACTCAGATCAGGTAATTAACCTGTAGGAAGTTTTACTTGACCACTCCAGTGCTTAATATAGCATATGTTTTAGACAAAGCCAGGACTTAAATACACTAGCTCTATGTTGTAAAGGTTACCTCTACATATCTTAACTTTTTTTTAGCCTGTCAATTGAGAGTAGTAATAAATCACAGAAGTGAACAAGAAAAGAAATAATACATGCAAAGCACTTGGCATAGTATCTGGCACACAGTAAGAACTCAAAATATGCTTTTACACTAAGTTAAGGGCTCATGGTCTGTGCTCATGTAACATGTTATCTGTATATCTAACAATGTACTAACATCCTGGATTATAATTATCATATGTTTGTCCACCCCCACTCAGAAAGTGACTTCCTTAAGGCCAGAGGTCAGATCTGAAAAATCTTTATGTCTCTAGTTCCCTAGTATAGTGCCTGGATACATTAGTTGCTCAATAAACTTAATGCTTTAATTTACATCAAGTAAAATAAAAAATTCAGGTTTTCGGTTGTATCACCACATTTGAGAACTCGGTAGTCACATATGGCCAGTGGCTACTGTACTGAACAATATATAGAACATTTTTATCATCACAGAGTTCAACTGTCAACTGAACAGTGCTAGTCTAGAGACTAAAAACAACTTAATGGTATCTGTTTTTTAATTTAATATAAATGGAAAAACCTACTTAGTTGAAGGCACTATGCTAGGTTATAATGCTATAAACACAGCATCTCAAAGAGAAGCTGTCTAAATTATAAATAGTAAAAAAACAAACAAGGAGATAAACTATAAATAGCATTGCATCACAAGCACTATTATTTCACTTATCTTGGATTCACAGAGAAAAAGTAAGATCATCAGCACTGAGAGGTTTACTAGGAAACTGATTATAGTTAGTGCCCAGGTCCTCTACAGGTAAGAGATTCTGCACATGCAGAACACAGAATGTTTCACCACCTCCGGTCTCACTGGATCTTCAATCCCCACAACAGCAATGCATGTAAGGCCGGTGACAATATCATTTTCATTATCCCAGTCTGGTTCTGGTTCTCCTGCTGGGAAATCTCTGAATGCAAGACATATGGTTCTCAAGCCTTCTGATGCCATCGGTTCAATCACAGTTTTTATAATATCATCACGGTCCCTTGGTCTGAATACTTTTGCCTCACCATTAGCACTCAAGATTTTGAAACACCTAAAAGGAAATGTTGAATCCAAACATAAATAATTAACAGAAATAATTACGAATGGCATTTAAAGTGAACTGGAAGGGCTAGAAATCATGGGATCTGATAGCTGAAATTTAGAGAATTCCATTATGTTGTATTTTTACAGACTTAAATCATATTCACTTTTCACTCTCCCCTTTATAAAACAGTTCCAATTTTTATAGCTTTCTGTTGATAGCTCTCCACTTTATCAGTTACTCTACATATTATCTAAACCTTCTCTTTTGGAAATACAAAGCTTTTAAATTTTCACAAAGAACCCCTAATAGCAGAGAAGAATAAACTATGCACCTACCCATTTTGGTACAGAGTTATACATTAATAATGATTAACACAAAATTGACAAGTATTTTCTTTTTTTAAAGTAAAAAGCTAAGTTCAATCAATCCCTTACCTGAGACTTTATTTCATCACCTATATGTTTTAACCATGAAAGAAACCGCCCCCCCCAAAAAAAAACTTACTATTAAAATAAGCATTCTATTTGAATGAGAGAAATAATGCCAAAATAGTTTTATTGCCAGTGACACTAGCCACAACCTTTTAATTATGTGGTAGATCGAAGTTACACTGTGGACTTCCCTATTTAAAGTTTATTTTCACACAGCCTCTCTATGCTCCTCTCCCTGTGATGCTGCCTCCTCCTGCTCCTAGGCAGGTGACTCCCAAATCTACATTTTCCGTTTTGTTTCCAAAGCTCTCCATCACTGCTGAAGGGTCCCACTCAGAAATTGTACCGGTACCTTAATCTTACTGCATGGAAGACTAAAAGCTGCCTCCTCACTGCCCATCTAACAGACATCAAGAGTACCCCAGTAAGTTCAATGTACATCAAGTCCCAAACTAACATCATCAACAGGTTCTGTGACTTTAAATGAAATGATGTATTAAGGAAACCAATTTTACCACAGGCTAATCGATACAAACCAAGATTAAATTCCTATGGCATCTCATCAACATTCTAACAAATGTTTTTCAATGAAACAATGTTATTTGAAGAGCTGCTATAAATCTAAAATCTCACCTGAGTACTTTTTCCTTATCTATATACATTACTTCGAAAGCGCTACATATTTATTCTCTGAACTGTCTTTTGAATGGTGCCTTTTCTTTCTCTTCCTCCTGTTAGTGACTTCTGGCTCTTACTCTGAGCTAGAGCTATTTATTGTAACAGCCTTTTGATAACTGTCTCTAGTGCCTTCTCTCCTCCCCAACCCATCTTATTTCCTGCCGTAAGAATTATCTTCAACCGCAGCTTTGATCATCCCGCTATATGATGAAAAAAATACTTCAGTCCCATTATCTGACCTTACTCAACTAAGTTTTTATTTATTTTTTCTTTATTGATTAAGGCATTACATATGTGTCCCCGTCCCCCCATTGCCACCCCACCTTATCTAAGTTTTAACTGCTCAGCCTAATGTTTAAGAGCCTCTACAACGAAATGTAAATATCCCTTGGAAATAGTTACTGTACACTTATTATATATCAGACTCCATGCTATGTTTAAATGCATTTTTTTTTTTTTTTTTTTTTTTTACTGTTACAGAGTTGATAGTTTTCACCCTCATTTGCAGTGGAGAAAAATGTAAGCTAAGGAAAAAATTTGCCTAAAATCCCAAAGCCAGTGAGTTCCAGGAAAGCATTAAAGCCTGACTGTTTCTTGATTTAAAAAATCTGCCCTGTACCTTCTATCTGCTACCCAGCAAGCCATGGATGCAAATTTTCTAAACTTCACACTGAAATCAGATAACCAAGCTTACTGTGAAGGGAGAAGAAAGCTCTAGGTTGCCTGTGTGCCACAACAGCCCATGTCTTCTCAGATGAACTATGTAACAGCTATCCCCCTGCATACAGCCTGCATACCCAACTCTTTTCCTCAGATATGGATTCCTTTCACCTTGATGCACTTATTTCATACCCAACCCTATCTCAAATGCTTCATCCTTCATAGTAAAATCTTTCATCTTAAAACTTTACACACCTGTCATATGCTGCCTTATCATTAATTTTATACTTGTCCCTTAAGCCTAGAGACCATAATCTGTCAAGTATTCATTAAGATAACACATATTATAGTCCATTTAAAAGCAAATTAGAAGTACAATATTCTAAGTGTTATAATTTCAAATGAGTTCTATATTTCCAAAATTGCTCGTAATTTTTTAAAAGTTCTCTACTGTAATTAAAGAAACCCAAATAATTTTAATACTTGTAATAGCACATAAAGATTGGAGAAATTATAAACATTTAATATTAAAATTGAAGCTACCTGTCTGTATAAGGACAGTAAAAGAGAAAGATTATCATTCAAAATGATAGAAGATACTTAAATATGACACCACAGCAGCATAAATAGGATAAAACCTCATTCTGATACAAAAGGAGAATTCTCAAGGCCTAGTTTTAATGCTTTGCTATTTTAAAAACTAATCTAAAATTCATTCATCATATTTTTGAGTCTACTGTCTACAAGGCAGTGTTGAATATAAAAACTTCAGTTTTTCTTTATAGGAGGCATATTTTTCTTGATCCTATATAACAATGAAATCAACATGTCTAAAAACAAGTATCAAGATTTACTTTATTAAATCTACCAGATTGGATGTAATTGAATGTGATGGGCTTATTTCCCCTGTAGCAAAACACTAAGAAATAAAAGAAACTGGAGTATAAAAATGGCAGAATACCATGGGCTAATATCAGGATACCATTGAAATATACTAAAAGCTCTGAGGTGCCATCAAATGCTCCATAGTCACAAAAAGAAAATAGCAACAGTAACAACACAGTAGGTATTTCATAAAGCAACTGTAGTTAGCAATTTATTCATCTCAGCACTTTACTCTTACTTTTTCAGAATTATCTCAGATGCACCCTTGCTGAATATTCGATAACTTCCATCAGAATTTTTCAGGACAGTACTCATGGACTTCCTAACAGAATTGAAGGTGTAGACTTTGTACAGTGATTCTTCTGGTATTTCATTTCTAACATCCTGATAATCCCGTTTTAAATCCAAAAGAAATCCCAACAAGGCACATTCAGTTTTATTACCAACATGACGAGGTAATCCACCCTCTTTCTCTGGGGGCTATAAGAGAAAAAGGTTTAGATGCTAGCTAGTATCATCTTGTTTCTCTATGACAGTTTCATATATTACACATAAATCAAAATACAACATTTTAAAACAAAATTACATAGGAAACTTCTATTGATATAGGCATTTCAGAGAGGGACACAGAATGATGAGGCAGAAAGGAGTTCTGGGACGAGAATGACATGGATTCCAATCTCAGCCCTGCCAGTTACTAGCTATGGGAACTTTTTGCACGTTACCCAATGGTTGTAGCCCTTGGCTTCAGCATCTGAAAAACAGGAGCACTTATGATGCAAGAATTAAGTAAGTCATGGTTCCTGACATGGGTAATGGGGCTTAACTTTAATTTCTCTCATTTTCTCTTCCTGTTTTCACTCAACATTTATATTAAATAATTCAAAATTAGATCTACTTTACAATTTTTATGGCTTAAAACAAAAGTTTGTGTGTTAAAATAAAGCACTATTGCCTTAAATGTATATAAAAGCTTTATTTTTTCGTAGTATTTTCACAAGTTTTACCTCATATAATCATCACAGAAATATTAAGGGCAGATGTAACTGTCTTTACTTAATAATTAAAGAAAGTAAAGCTCAGACTTTCTGTTAGTAAAAGGCAAAGTTAGATCTAGAACCAAGATCTCTATTAACTTCCAATCCAATAATCAATTGGTGCATTTTTCACTGAACAACTTGGAGTATTAATTTTGTTCATGGTTTTCATACATAAATCACTAGAACACATATCAAGTGAAATAATTTCATGCTTTATGTTATAAATAAGACTTTTAAAACTTATAAAGTTAAAAAAAACTTACAAAGTTGAAGTATTTTACTCTAAGGTAGTGCAAGTCTAGAATTACTTTATTGAGTTATTTACTAAAGGTCAAGCATCACCTTCCAAAAAAGAACATATAGCATGCATAAGAAAACATTATTTTAAATTGCAATCTGGCTTCAAAATTTTCTCTAGAAAACTGTGAGTTGACTTTCTACAAAAGTCTTTTTATTTTTATCTACAAAAATAAAACAGCCTGGTCTTTCAAAAAATAAGCTTAGTAAGAATTTAAAATTAAGGACTTGTTCTGGTTATAAGGCTTAAGAGTGTCTAAATATATAGGAAATTCAAAATAGAAGAGGAGAAAGTTACAGGTAAACAAAATGTATATTTTGACCAATAGATCTTACTTGCAACACAAATTGTATCAAAGGAACTTATATTCATTATATGGATATATGCCTTTTAAAAACAACACAATTCAGTTCTTCAATTTATATATATATAGTAAAGGTAGGTCTGCAGATCTATATACAATCTAATTACAAATTAAAAAAGTCAATTTTCATGCATAATTTATTAAAGAAACCTACCAGTATTTTTGATGTATAAGCACAATTCACTGAAATTCCTGTTACAAGATAAGACAAGATATTTGGTGGAATAGCTTCCGGCTCAGGGACCTTTTTGTAATGCTTTTCATTTATATAAGCTTGAACAACTGTCATTCGGTTCATTGTCAATGTTCCTGTTTTATCTGAGCAAATGGCTGTGGCATTTCCCATGGTTTCACAAGCATCCAGATGCCTTACTAAGTTATTATCTTTCATCATTTTCTACGGTGACAAAAAAAGTTTTAGGTAAGCTACATATAAAACCAATAGCCTCATTACATTAAAATCATAAACTGCTTTAAAATCAGAATGAAAATTCCCAGCTATATACATATACACAATATAAACCAATAATTTAATATTGGAGGATTTTAGTACATTTGACCTATCCAAATAAGCTTTCTTAGGTTTCAATAATTTGACCACTGCATAACAATCTAGCAAATGAAACAGATACCGGCACCCATCCGCAGATCACATCAACTCTACACTGCCTCCAAAAGCTTCTGCGAAGGGTCCTCACATTACAAGAGCATTGATAATCTGCTCTCTATGTACAGATGTACTTAGAGCAGTGTCAGCGTATATTACATTTAAGGAGTAAGTCTCTTTATAAAGTAGAAGTGAGAAGATTTTTGTATCAATCACCAAGGAAAATGTAGCTTGTATCAACTGAAATACATAGGTTGTGGGCTGCATGATTTTTTTTTTTTTTTTGAGTTAACATACCAAAAACAGAATGAGTCATTTTTAACTTTTCCATATGTTGATGCACTTGATATACTCACTATTTGGATCCTCTCTCTAATTCACAAGAGCAAAAAAGATAGTTTCTAAAAAATTAAAAATGTTCATAGTAGCCCCAAAAGGCATTTAAGTTAAAATACTTGATATTAATTCTCAAAATATATGTGGAATGGATTAAAAATAACAGAGTTTTTAAACTACTACTATGCAAGATATTGCAAAAAAAAAGTGATTCCTTGAAGAAATAAATATGGGGAAGAAAGATGTGTACCTCCCATATTACTTGTGATTCAAATTAATATTAAAGATTAAAAGAATGAAGTTCTTGCCTGTCCTGAGTGGCTCAGTGGTTGGGCATCAACCTATGAACCAGGAGGTCACCCTTTGATTCCCGGTCAGGGCACATGCCCAGGTTGTGGGCTCGATCCCCAATAAGGACATGCAGGAGGCAGCTGATCAATGATTCTCTCTCATCACTGATGGTCCTCTCTCTCTCCCTCCCCCTTCCTTTCTGAAATCAATAAAAAAATATTAAAAATAAAAAAGAATGAAGGTCTTTCTACAGTAAAGAAAATGTGTTCGATTTTGCAAAGCACTAACAGAGGATCCATAAAGACTACACCTCAGTGAAAGGAACAAGTGAAGGCTAGACTATGAGGTAACGGGAGTAGAAGAATGGAAACAAGGAGGCTTTAGAACAGAGGTGGGGAACCTTTTTCTGCCAACAGCCATTTGGATACCTTATAACACCATTCGTGGGCCATACAAAATTATCAACTTAAAAATTAGCCTGCTATATTTGGTCAACATTTAATTGACTCACCCCTAATGCCCTGGCAGGGTCAGACAAAATGATTTCACAGCCTTTGGGGTGGACATTCCCCATCTTTGCTTTAGAAGGTTGGACTGGAGTGAACCCTTTCTTTGCTCTTATACCACAGTAAAAGACATTGTTAATCTTACAATGAGAAAAAGGAGGGAACATGACTTGGCAACATAAATACTATACAATGAAAATTAAGCTACAAGTCTGCCTAGCAGAGTTGTGCTTAGTTTTGTGGCAAGGCTGTCCTCCAAGGTAGTGGTCGCCAAGGTAGTGGACCACCAGTGGTCTGTGAGGTCCGGAAGGCTGGCGACCACTGCTCCAAGGAATGTACAGGTCTCTATGTACTGGGATCCTTAACTGGGGGAAAAGGATGGAATCAATGACAGCATTTCTAAAGCAAACAAGTGTAAATTTATGAAATTCTCTTCCTTTCAGAATGAAAAACAAGAATAATCAGACGTGCATTTCCACCCCAGCTGGTACTTTAAACTTAGTACATCTCCTTAACCATTTCTACTTACCTTGACTGAGTAAGCCAATGAGATAGTGACTGCAAGTGGAAGACCTTCTGGCACAGCTACCACTAAAACCGTAACTCCAATAATGAAGAACTTCACAAAATATTGTATGTAAATCGGTGTGCACTCAGCAAGCCATTGTCTCTTCTGAACCCAGAATGTATCAATTACAAAATATAACACTAGAATGATAACTGTGATGGCAGACATCAACAAACCTTTCAGTATACAAAGAAAAGAAAAATGTAATTATTTAAATATTCCAGACACTACCCATTGTCAGTTACAAACTGGCCACTGGAAGAATTACAGCTGGTTTGGTTGGTAATACTTATTTTAATTTCTTTGGGAAATTGTTAACATCTTTTTTTGCCCTTGACATTGTCATATTTAATTTTTGCTTCCAAGTGTAGTCTTGTCCCTAGGAGAACTGGGAGAAATTGTTTAGGATTGTTTCCTAGACTTAACTGTATCCTCTTTGGTCTTCTACTGAAGCTGAGACAAAATAATAGGCACTGATAAGAAAATACCAAAAACTTAGCATAAGCTGGTGCTTTACATACTGGGAACTTACCTGTTGCTGAAAGACAATCCAATAAGAATCTGATGAATGAGAACACGTGAAATTAAATATTCAACCCTATCTTTTTAATTAAAAAAATTATCTGAATCATTATCTTTAGTCTATCCTTATTACTTCATTAACTTAGAAAAACAAGAGTTAATCATGTAGTATGAATCATTAACTTCTCTATTCCGTGGGTTATTTAGCCCCATCTAAATGAATATTAAAAAATAAGGTAAGTCCACATATCTGGGTCTAATAACCCAAGTCAATGCTTACTAAAAACCATCACTACCTCAAAATTCACTCTTATCCCCAACACTATGGAGTCAGTATTATTAGTTGCCTTATTTATTAAAAGAAGCATATATTTGTATTAGATAATAAACTTCTTGAGGACAAAAGCAAAAACATAACTTTTCCTAACACATTCCTAGGAAGTAATAAAATAATGCAATTTACCTGATTTAATAAAATGTACCAATTCACAAAGGTGATACCGCTGGAGGACATGCTCTGTTTGCTTTTTATTTTTTAATAGAGTGGTTCTCTCAACATGTGTTTTCTAGTGATGGCAACAGTTTAGTAATTTTAGCCTCAGCAGAATGAACTACTCCATTTAATGAACTAAACTATAACTTCTAGAAAAACATATACCTAAATTTTTCATAAATAGTAAAAAGATGAACAAAATGTGTGATAAAAATTTCTTTTAAATAAAATATAGTTGGGTAATGTGCATGGAGTAACCTCACTGCTAGCCCTTCTCCATTGTTCCCAAAAATTCAGAGATGAGAGCATGGGCTTGTGAATTGGCAGACTTACACGCTAATCTACCCACGTATTAGCTAGCTGACAGTGACAGAGGACGTGGGCTCTATGTAATGCGGAGACAATAGCCTCTAAGCAATGAAGAGGATAGTCAATAACTCAGAAGACCTGGTACACTGTGGATAAAACTGAAAATATTTTTAACTCCCCATCCAGCCACAAAGCAATGATTTTCCAGCCTTAAGTATGTCAAAAGATGATTTGTAAGCAGGAAGTTAGTGTATTTTAAAATAAACACCTTACTTTCCTTTATGTATCATACCTGCTTTGCCAATCTGAACAGCCAGCTTTGTAAGTTTCCCTTGTAAAACAGATTTTTCCTTTTTTGGCAAATTTGATTTCTTTTTGTCTTTTTCATCACCATCTCCACCATCTTCACTCTTCAAAGGCTGCATTTCCATGGCTGCACCATCCTGGGCTTTTGCTGCATTTAAGAGCAAATGTAATTTCACTACATTTTAAAGGCACATACAACTTGACATTTTGAAGCAAGTTTTGATAAAAATCAGTTTTCTTTTAGAAACTAGGAAAGATTTAAACATTCAGCTTTGTGTGTGCACATGTTGTATGTCTTACTCAGAGAAAAATAAGACAACAGTGAAACTTGGTTGTGAAACTGTGTACCAGACTTGAGAATGTTGTAATACATAATACAAATGAGGCATAGAAAGGAAGAAATATAGGGTCCTTAAACTAAGAACTAAACACCAAATCATTAATCTTCCCCTGAGTTGTATTAGGTAATGAAACTTACTCCAAACATCCCAAGTCCCTTCTATATAATTTCTACTATAATGCAGATTATGTATCATCTTACACACAGAGAAATACCTATGTGTACAGACTATTAAATAGATGCAAAAATATGTTATATGTTTTGTTTCTTATGCATTTTTGCTAGTAGTGACATAGTAACCAATTTATACTACCCAAAATGTTAAAGTTGAAAGTTACATACATCTGGATTTTTCTACACTTACTAGCACAAATCATAATTAAAATCTATTAACACTGCAAAGGCAGCACGACTGGGGCACTAACAGGAAGAGAGCTTAACTCAAGTAAACATATATTGCTGATTTTCCCTGCTACCTGGATCTTACACTTTTGGATGAATATAGTACACATTAGATATATTTTTGGATAATGAAAAGAAGCTAACTATACTTTTATCCACCTGAATTTACCTTTGTTGCGATTCTCAATAGCTCCATCTTGTTTCTTATCTGTAGGAACAAAATGGGAATTAAAGCTTTCCAAAAGAAATGAATACAGCCATGCTAAATTATGCAAAGGTAGTTCACATTTCTATAACAGCATTGTTACACAGTGCTACGTGTGTTTGTACAGATTAGGAAGCATCTAGTTTGTAATGACCTACTGGTCAATTACTCCCTGGTCTTAACCATAGGGGAATAATACTCCAAAATAATTTGGGCATCTATACTTGTTTGATTTCTCCATAAGACTTTACTCTTTTACGCTGTAATAAACCCAAATATAATATAAGAGGTGTTCAAACTAAATACAGATATACTCCTAAGAAAGCAGAAAAGGACAGGGGTAGAGAGAGAGGGAGAAATGTCATAGAAATACAATACGCAGGAGAGCTTTGATGGGAATAAGAACAAAAACACTACCTGTATAAAAGACAGCAGAGGCAAGTAAGTGAAACTAGAACATGAATGTACTATCAGTTGAGTTCATTATAATAACTGGCTTAGATTTGGAGAAAAGAGAAAGATGAGAATGTCTGAAGCAATAAGGTCATCAAGGAGGGAATGGGTCTAGTGTTTGGAAGTAGGTAGGATAATATTAGAAAGGACAGAGAAGAAGCAGAATCATTTAGTCTATTTTTCTTCCAACTTCTCTATCAAGGAGAACTATCTTCAAACTGGAAGACGTGGAACAAATATGGTCAAGATGGAACAGAGGTTCAAGATAAATGAGGAGATAGTAAGAGAACACCTAGCTACTTTCAATGACCTCAAGCTGGAGAGAGACCAGAGAGCCACATTCCAGACGACTAAGGAACTGAGACAGATTACCCTGCTCTGGGCTGCCTGTGACTGGAGGAGGGCTGGAAGTCCACAGATGAAAAATGGTGTCTCGTTCTATTAAAAAATAACAACAACAAAAACAACCCAAGAACAAAAAATGGTAGATAATGAATTAGATATTAATTCCTGGGAATACCCTTGACTGGATTCAGGAAAACAGGTTTGTAAGACATAAAAAAGGGTGCATACTGGAAAAGACACTGTGGAGGCAATGAGAACAAAGTCATGACACAACTTCCCTTTATTTTTTAATAAGGCCTGTTCACTAGACTCCTTTAAATTAGGATGCAGCACAGTGTATGAGATAATGCATATAAAGCATTCAATAAACGGTATCATTGTTACTGGTTTTCAAATTGCCTTTCACTCTTAAGAAACCTGAAGGAGGCAGACGGGAGGGCTGTGGTGAGGGACAGGAAAAACCTAGAATGTGGAGCTTGCTACCCTCACTTGCAGCAATAACTTTTCAAACACTTTTTTGTTTGAAATGAAGATTTCACAGCTAAAGACAAAAACCTAAAGAACAAAACACCTAAATATTTAAAACCCTGCTGTAGTTAGAACACACCAAGATATTAGCATGACATTTATTTTACAAGATCTCAAAATACTTACGTGTGTGAGAGAAATACGGGCTTACTACTCTTAAGTAAAATTAAATAAATCTAAGTGGTTAAACCACAGTAAACTGCTGTCAGTTTAAAGTGAAAAAACTCTGGAGTGATCCCGAGTGGAAGAAAACTGCGATACAGCAGACACAAAAGCAGGGTGGGGAGGACTTTTGGGAAAAAAGTATCATGCTGTCCAACTAAGTGATTCTGAATTGTCTCACGATGTATGATGGAGTTTCTTATAAGATCCTTGTAGGTGAACTACGGTTATCAAGTTTGCTGGATAGATAACTTGGAGGGATAGCAGATACAATGGATCAAAATAAAGATCTTCATATCTAATGATGAGCTGAATATTACACAACAAACACAGAGGGTGGCAAAGTAAAGTCTTTGACACCTACATAAGTACAGACTGAAGATTAAAGGCTCAATGAGTCCAAAATGTAATAAGGCTGGCAAAGAAGGCTACTACTAAAGTAGCAGAAAAAAATACGCAGACGGGAAGCAAGAGTTTAATTCATTTTCTGGTCAGATGACAGGGAGAGTCTAAAACTAGAGAATAAACAGAATAAAGACAATGGGAGTGGTTCAAGATGAAGTTACCCCATGGTAATGGGGACTGATGCATTCACTAAAAGCCTTTCATGGACTATTTAACCTAAAAGAAAAACTTTCCCTCCACTAATTCTACCACTTTACAGGACAATATTGGGCAATACTGTAACTTTTTTGTAGAATTTTTCATATCTAACTTCATTAAAGAAGTGTATGTTTTACACCAGTTCTTAAAATTTAGTTGCCATTTTTTCAAATACCAATTCTTATAGCAAATCGCCATTCTTACTTTTCTTTTCCTTTTTCTTCTCATCTTTCTTCTCTTCCTCTTCACCTCCAGCTCCAAGTAAGGTAAAAATAATTCCAGTTTGAGAATTTATACCTACAGCAGTAACTACCATTCTTCCAGAGCCTTCCATTACATGAGTACCTACAACAGAAAACTTGTTTACTTATTAAAAATAGATTTTTCCTCCTATCACCAAATTTCAAATTTTAGTAACATTGTCTTTAATATCCTTAATATTTAATAAAACGAACTCAAAGAAAATGTTAAATAAAACCTAAATTCTTATGCTTAAGGTTTTAACTCTGTAATCACTCATATCTGAGTTTAACACAACTCGACCAACTCATTTATCATTGGGCAAATTATAAACATCTCAAAAAATGACTACAACAGATCTAGAGTGAGACTCAAGCCTATAAATGCAAAGTGCTCAGCACAGTGCCTAGAATTTGTTGAAAATAAATGCTCAACTTAAAAAATTCTATCATCATCATCATCATCATCATCATCATCATCATCATCATCATCAGGACCTTTTCCCGAGAAATGCATTGTTCAAAAAAGAAATGTGCTTATAACCAAAGGGATTCCACAGCAACAAATGCCCCATTTCCCACACTCAACCCCACAACCTCTACCTAACCCAGACCCCTCATCCCAGTCTGCCAAGACTACCACAGCAGCCTCGTAGGTACCTAAATCTATGTTTATAGTTCATCCCGAAATGTTTTAATCTTCCCAAAATGTGAGTTTTGCCTTAAACCTCTCATAGCTCAAAAACTTCTGAGGCTACACTGCCCACTGGACTAAGTGCAAGATCACCTTGAGATCAACCAACCTTTCAAACCTTTCACCCACTACTTCAATATAACATTCCATTACAGAAAACTAGGGAGCAGACATGGGAATACTGATTGAATTCAGACCATCCCTCACAACAATGTCCAGAGTTGGCAGACATGTTTATTCTTACTTCCTAGAAACATGCCCAAGGTTACATCACTATTAAATGGCAAGGCAAACATTCAACCCTGCTCTGTCAGAGGACAGAGGACATAATCTTCTTACAATGTAATGCTGATAAGTTTGTTTACAGTTCTTCAATTGTACCTTTTATCAATCGTTAAAAGGCTTCCTACCTCGCTAATATTTTGGTGAATTTTAAGTAGCTTTTGAAACTTAACACTTTTTTTAAACACTCAAGTCTTCTTCAGTTATCACTTATTTATTTGATCTCCTAGTTCACAGCCACTGGGAGGACAGGGTCTACAGCACCTACCACCATCTTATGTAACAAGTCAATGCTCAAAGGTTATTTGCTAAATCTATATATATAAAAGCCTAAGTGACGATTCCACCATTTGACCAGTAGCTATGATGTGTACTGACCACCAGGGGACAAATGCTAAACACACAGGTATGGAAACATGGAACAGACTGATGAATCTCAGAGGGAAGGAAGGGAGAGTAGGGTAGGAAGAAATTAATCCAAGATCTTATATGCATACCAGAGGCCCGGTGCACGGATTTGTGCACTGGTGGAGTCCCTCGGCCTGATCTGCGGGGATCGGGCTGAAACTGACAATCTGACATTCCCCTGAGGGGTTCCGGATTGCGAGAGGGCACAGGCCAGGCCGAGCGACCCCACCGGTGCACCATCCATACACCGGGCCTCTAGTAAAATCTTAAGGCATATGTGCTTACTTCAGTACTTAAGAATTTACACTTAGCTATTAATTATGGAGTAAAATATCCAATAAGAATTTTTTAGGCCTTTGATTTTCTTGCTTTAACAACCTATATTCTAAATATTTCACTAATTATTAGTTTCTTTGCCAGTGAAAATGCAAGGGAAACAATAAATGAAATTTAGGACAGCAAAACAACATTTATTGGGCAAGCACTATGTGTAAAAGACAGTTTGTTTCTTTTAAAAATTCTGGCTTTCAGATGATGTCAATGTTTTATGTTTTGTTCTTCCTTACCACAGGTAATCATATGTTTGCAATTAATGTGCTCAAAATAAACAGTTTTTGTTCTAGCCATAGCCCGATTGCTAACTAAAAACTGCTTTTAAAGATCTAAATTTAAGAAGCCAAGAACAGCAGTGAGAGATGGCATCATGAGAATAAATTTAAAAATAAATGCATTTCATGTTTTTTAGTACATTTTTGGAATAGGGAAATAAATACAGAAAAACTTTCCCACCCGTATTGCGATAAGGGACTCTACAAAGCTATTTCAATCTTTTCCTAAGCATGGAAAATTTATAGAGTTTTCTTGGTATATTTGGTGTGTGAGGAACCTGAGTCTACATAAACTTACCAGAAATTTCTGTAAAAACAGGAAAGGACCAAAGTTCAGTTAAAGGATTTCAACCTGAAGAGTTAAGCACTAGGTAAATAAGCTAGATGTACATAAAAGTCCATGAGTAAAAATGGCAAAAGGGCAAGAGGAGACTAATTTAGTTCACCAAATACGGCCCAGTTAGTCTATGGCAGTGATGGCGAACCTTTTAAGCTCGGCGTGTCAGCATTTTGAAAAACCCTAACTTAACTCTGGTGCCGTGTCACATACATAAATTTTTTGATATTTGCAACCATGGTAAAACAAAGACTTTTATTTTTTATATTTATTTTATATATTTAAATGCCATTTAACAAAGAAAAATCAACCAAAAAAATGAGTTCGCGTGTCACCTCTGACACGCGTGTCATAGGTTTGCCATCACTGGTCTATGAAGATAATGTAGGTTATACAGCTTCCCTCTCTTTTGGAAAGATTATATTTGTTTAACATTAAATACCGTTTCTTAGAAGTATGGCAAAGAATAAGTAAAATAAGTATACACTGTATGTAAATACATTATCATTATATAGCCAAAATATTTCTGTCTATTTGGAATAAAACACAAGCATATCAATACAAAGAAAAACCCAAATAGAGTACAAATGTCCTTAGTATAAAATATTGAAGGGACACAAGATTTAAAAAACAAACAAAACGATGTCTATATTACAATTGAAACTTTTACCCTATTAATAATGGTGTTCATAAATGTACATAAATGTAATAACTGATTTTTTTGATAGTTTATTGATTTTTAGAGAGAGAGGAAGGGAAAAGGACCGCAACATTGATTTAAGAGCGACAGATCAATCAGCTGTCTCTTGCACCCTCCTCGCCCCGCTTTCCCCAGCCCCAGGATTAAGCCTGCAACCCAGGCACGGGCCCTTGACTAGGAATAGAACTAGCAACCTCCGGGTGCATGGGATGATGCCCAACCAACTGAGCCACACCAGGCAGGGCTAATTACTCTGATTCTTAGTGGTGTGATGTTCTGCAATATCCTTTTTTGGCACATATTTTCAAATCTTAAAAAGGTAATAATTAAACTTAGGTATGTGCCCCAAAATTGTGAATCTAACTTAACTGACTGACTCTTGTCACAGGTTTGACTTTGGTTTCATTAAAACCATGTTCAACCAATTGAAATACAAAATTCACAGAGAATAACTGAAAAATTATAGCTGTCAAGTTTTTGAATAGTTAAATCAGTAAGAATCTCCTCACCACATATATAAAGTGTTACCATTTAATTAACATCTGAAAATAATAAAAGACAAATGGACAACTCGCTTCCTCCAAACTCTAGTATAATTCAATGACTAGAAGGCAGCTTGTTTATAATTATTCCCATCATCCCATTTCATTTCCAGTTAACCATAGGTCAAGCTATCACAGTCAGGCTGTTATAAGAATCTCTCAAGTAGACAACCACCTCCTCCCTTTTTCAAACAGAGTACTCTCACCTATACGAATCCTTCCTTTTCCTATTCTCAGGACATGTCTTAACCATGTGCAAATGTAATCCTGCTTAGTGGATGTGGTGCTACTCCTGGACCTACTGTAGATTAATCATATAATCTTTGAGAAATAGTTTATTTTTCAGACTTTGTCCTCAGTAATTTAATGAGGGAGTGGGGTTAGGTAAGCTTTAAAGATTTTATCAGTTCTGAAAAACTCACACAAAGCAATAACAACAGTCGTTTGTAGACCATCATAGACAATTCATTGATTTGCTTTAAACACATTCTTCAATTTTATACTTCAACAGGTCATATTTTAGTTTTATCATTAGACTAAAATTAGCTTATACTGACTCTCAAATATCTTGATTTTTTTTTTGGACTCAGTTACCTCATTTGTAAAATACAGCTTTGGATTCAAAGATCTCTAATGTCTTCAACAACTTACAAAAACTAAAAATAAAAATTACTAAGGATTATAAAGATTAAGCCAGCACAAAATCTATAATCCTCTTCACATTATTGGCTTTTAGGGAAACTGTGTTTGATGACAATGGTATACAGTTGTAAGGGAGAAAAAAGTTAAAAGTTTAAAAGAAATTCATACCTGATAAAAGTAAGGGATCCTTATCTAAAGACTTTCTAACATGATCAGATTCACCAGTCAATGAGCTTTCATCAATTTTAAGATCATTGCCTTGAATAAGTATGCCATCAGCTGGAAGAAGATCACCTAAAACAAAAAACAATACTATGCTAAACTGTGAACATGATTATAATAATTGTACATCTAGTGTCAGAGCTATTCTCTCTTCTACTTACCATATTTCACTTGAGCAATATCTCCAACAATAATGTCAGCTACAGGTATCTGAATGACCTGACCACCCCTGATGACTGTGAACTTCTGTTCTTGTTCAATTCGACTCTGCAAACCCCTAAACTGCTTCTCCTTACTCCAGTCATTGAAAGCCGTCACCAGTACCACACATACTACTGACAAGAGGATTGCAGCTCCTTCAATCCAACCAGTTTCACCTTCACCTTCTTCCTCTCCAACAGAAACTTCTCCACAAACTATTTGGAAAGAAAGAAAATGCTCATCAAAAAGGATTCTGAATTGATGGCAATAGCATGTAATGTTAATTATGAGCTTTATATACCTAGTTAATTTTACTCATAATTCTAAACATCTCACTGTACTCAAAGCACTCTGTAATAACAAAAATGTTTACTATGTCAATGTCAAGTTCCCTGCCTCTGAAGGTTCTCAACCTCAGGACAGGGAGGCACTCTAGAGCACTACTTAAGAGTAAGGACTGGAAAAATTTAAATCCCAACCTTAAGGCAAGTTACTTATTTCTGATACCTGGTTTCTTCATCTGTCCAATTAGGATACCACCATTAGCCTAGTGTTGTGGTGAAAATTCAATGAGAGGACATCTGAAAGTAGGTAGAGCAGTGACTGAGACATCCTGCACACTCTATCAATGGTAAATGATATTTATAATTACATGTGGTAGGCAAGACAAGATGTGCTACCCAAGAAAATATTTACTATATTAATTTTACTGGAGTATGATCAAATATTGGCTTTTATAACATGAAAAGTTAAGAAAAGTGCTACTTATTGACTCAACTATTTGAGCACCTACTCTAGGTGCCAGATACCATTTTGGGACCTAGGGATACAGCTGTGAATAAGACATACAAGCTTCCTCTCCTCACAGAAACCATACTCATATTGGTAGGTGTGAAAGAAATATGAAGAATTCAGATAACAAAACACAAATAATTAACATCAGATATTGTAAGTGCCACGAAGAAAATAAAACATGGTGACGTGCTTACAAATGAAGAAAGAGGGATAATTATGCCTGGATGAACAGCAAAGGCCCGTCTGAAGTCTCCATGACATTTGAGTGAGGAGCCAAATGATAAACAAAAATTAATCACATAGCTTGAAGGGAGCAGCATTCCAGGGACAGATTAAAGAAAATACAAAGGCTCTATGGAAGAAAGGAGTTCAACAAAAGATATAGAAGGGAAAAAAATCAAAAACTCAAAACTGTAGAGTCAATAATGGTGAAGAAAGAATAACGTAACAGTGCTTCTTGGACTTTGGGCTGTAATTTATTTGTGAGTCTAAAATCAATTCAGTGGCTCGTGACCAGCATTTTGAAAAATACTGAAATAGTAAAACAGAAAAGTAGAAAGATACGTATGGTTTCTTGAAAGCTTACTTTGGTTATTTATAAATTCTCATGAAGGCAAATGCTCTTCTGTGTTCCTATATAAGTTCTTTCTTAATTGAGGGTTGAGCTGAAATCTCTGAAAGTCAATAGTTCTCTTAGGACAGGCAAACAGGAAAAAGATGATTCAGAAGAAAAGAATGAATAAACGAATGACACTAGAAATGATTAAAGCATATTCCAGAATAGTGAGCATGGACAGAAGAGGATGTTGAATAAAGATTAACCTGGGAATTATGTGGGACAGACGCAGGGAGAGAAGACAGAGGCTAGAATAAGACCAAAAGGATAATGTGAATATTCACAAAAAAATTTGCCTCATATTTCATGAATGTGTAGTGGAATTTTTCAAAGACTGCATTATATGTGCTAATACAATAAAATGAATAAAGAAGCAGAAGAGAATCCAGTTATCTTCAATTAAGCCAGACAGTAAAGAGATAAAATAAAAAAACCCACTATTCTTTTCATGATTTCACAGCTTCATTAATAACAATTAAACATAGTAATTATAATTATTTATTAAAACAATACTTAATTATTTTAAAGTGCATTGCTAAACATTTTTAAATTTCTCAATTTTAATTCAGAATACAGTAAATATCTACAGATATAACTCACATAATCAAAGCTCTTTGGGGTCCTCAATACTTTTTGGAGTGTAAAGGGGTCCTGAGACCAAAGATTTGGAGAACCACTGGTAGTATATACACTGGTGACTAAAGATTTCTTTATGATATGGTTTATAGTGCTTCTTTTTACACCAAACTGTATCAGTAAGAAATTTTGACTATTCAGATTTCTATGACTGTAGATTTGCGATTAATGGATTTCCTTTTAAGCAAAGTACTATGAGACTTAGTGCTAAAACACAACATGATAAAAGATACATGAAGTACATTAATAAATGTTAAAAAGAATAAAGTACAAACACTAAACAGCTTCTCAGCATGGAGCAAATATAACTTTATATGTTTTATTACACCTTCTAATAGATTCTGAGTCTCTTTAAAGGGCCTTATGACACTGACAACTCTAGATCATCTTCCCAGTTGGATCTAATACCAGTATCTTCTTAAGCAAATTTCGGAAAGGGTCTGCAAATGAAGCAGTCCCAATTCCATGAAGATTTGCCTTGACCTTATTAGTAACAAAATCCAGTCCTGTTGAAAATACTTCACTTTAAAAAAAAAAAAAATATTATTGATTTTTAGAGAGGAAGTAAGAGGGATAGATAGAAACATCAATGAGTGAGAAACATCATCGATTGGCTGCCTCCTGCATGCCCCTACTGGGATAGAGCCCTGACTAGGAACTGAACCAGTGACCTCTTGGTTCATGGATTGACGCTCAACCACTGAGCCACACCAGCCAGGCAAAAATATTTTTCTTTAGTTTTCTTATAGTCTTGGGGGAAAAAATGTTAGAAGAAGCTTTTTTTATAATTTCTTTATTGATTAAGGTATTACATATGTGTCCTCATCCCCCCATTACCTCCCCAATACTCCCTCTCATAAAAGTTTTTAATAATCTGCTAACTCACTCAATTGTAGCATACTAATCCCCAGTACTCTATAATGACAGTTGTGTAAACTGAACACTAATGATTTTTGCTATATGTTGCTAAACATGATATGACCTTCCTTTTCAGATAAAAAGACATACATTTACACATCCGCACACCTACCAACTCAACGCACACATATATGAACACACACAGAAACATCTACACAAAAACATTTTTAAAATATGACAGGATAAATATATCAAAATGGTATGGCAGTAATCTCTAAGAAGTGGGATTTTCGGTGAGTGCTACTTTCTCTAAATTTTCATATCCCTCCTAATACTCCCATCACAAAATATGTATTATTTTATTGCATTATTTAATAAACACGTCTTTAAAATAAAAAGTTTTTGAAATAATGTGACTTAGTACTGACAAGAATATTGCCTAAATCCTTTCTTAGCTACATCAATTATTGTCAACCACAGGCCATTTCGCCCCCTTTGGGATACTGGGCAATGTCTGGACACCTGTTTGATTGCATTCTCTTGGGAAGTGGTCTAATTAACATGGCAACAAAATATGTTCAGTGCAAAATGTCATGTGTTGCTGCTGAGAAACCCTGATCTCAGATAAATAGTATTATTCTGTGACCAACTTTCTTCAAAGGAAAAAAAAAAGTTTTCACAGGAGCTATAAGCATACCTTTGAAGAAATTACTTTAAATGATTACCTAAGTCAACTTTTAGAGTTAGCAAATACACATTCAAGTCTTCATAACTTGAAAGGCACAAGAATGAAACTTTCACAAATAAAAAATATTTTGGTAAAACGCTTTTCAGATATATAAAATACTATTGGTTCACTTTATAGCTATTTAAATATACTGCCAAAACCCAAGCTAGATTTGCTAGCAGGTGTAGAATATACTGTCAGAAATACCCATTTTAAAATACATGTTTTAAATGGAGAAGAAATTTAAAAGAGAAATGAAGGCCATAGCAAGGTGGGAGAAAAACAAAACCATTTGTAGCTACAAGTTGAGGTAGATCTACCATTCCAGTGTATTTTTCACTCGTCAGGATACTTTGTAGTATAAACATTTCTTGAATGGCAAGGAAATTACCCAAATTATGAACATAACAACACATTTTAAGAACTTCAAAAGTAGTGGATTGGGGAAGAGAACAGAATTTTGCTTTCATAATGATTTCCCAGGAGATTTAAAAAAATCCAAATAAAAAATTATTTTACAGTAGTGCTCTAAAAAACTTGAAAACAGTGATGGTACAGGCCATATCATATATTTAACCTGTCTCACTGTAAAATGGAGGTGACGTTACTATGTCATAGGGTTATGAAAATTATCTCAGGTAATATATTTCAAGAACTATTAAAGGCACTGGGCACTGTTAGAATGGTGTCTGGTACATAGCAAACAGTCAATAAATGCTGGTCTGCTATTATTATTATGTATTAGGTAAGCTAATGAGCTTAAATTAGCAACACATATCAAACTCTTTTTTTTCCTCCCCAATTTACTTACGTGCATTGTCCCCTTCTGGAGGATGATAAAAAGAAAGGCCCAGTGATACTATGGCTGCAATTTCTAATATAATTAAAGTGACATCTTGTAATGCTTCCCATACTAACTGAAGAAAGGTTTTTGGCTTTTTAGGAGGTATAAAGTTCTTTCCAAACACTGTTTCTCTTCTTTCTATATCTACAGGGTTTCCACTTAAACCTAATAAAAAGAAACAAGATTTCAGTGAACAGTTTTAGTATTTACAAATGAAAATATTTTATTGAAAACATTCATTCTTTACACTTTAGATTCGGATTCATAAGGCTCTATCAGAATGGTTTATTTTTGTGCATTAGTCATGTTCACAATTTAAATGCAAACATGTGCAGTGCTTTAAAATTACATTTTAAGTAGGATAACTCAAAATTAACAATTTTTACTTTTCCAAACTGCTTATTTTTATACTATTTTATTCCACCTTGTAGACTGCTAGAGACCAGAACTGATATGACACTGATCATTTTTATATTGGCATTAAACATTTCCATGATCTTTACTGATGATGTTTTCCCTCCCCAAATGGAGAACTATATAAAGATATTTATTTTGCTTTACTTATTGCATCTTGGTTAACTTAATCAGTGAACACCTTTGATTTTCATTTATATTTACTGAAGAACAATGAAAAGCCAATCTATCACAAGCTCTAGCACTTCTCTTACCAAAATGTCTGTTACACTTGGACTGATAAAAGATTTGCAAGTCCCAAAAAACAGGAGACTTAGAATGACCTTTATTTCAAGTTCTACTTAGGATTTATTTCCAATTGAAGAAATATTGACTGAGTGCACTTACTGTCACTGTAAGGAACATAGTATTATGCCTAGTGTGTGGAATTAGAAAGTTATGAGGGATAGATTAAGAGAGAGTTGGGTGAACAACAATTTTTCATCCTATCAAACAAGTCCTCCTCTGATTTAACCTGTTGATCCTGTCAAACCTAAATATATCCAAATTTGCTCATGCAAAGTGTGTACACACATTACTGTGAGGGTATGAACACACAGCAGTGGCAAACAACAGTTTTCCTTAGTCGGTTTAAGAATATCAAAGAAGGGGGCAGAGATACCAGGGTGATATGACTTTTAATTTTATCACCACAAATTTAAATTTGTAATTAATTTCAACTGTTTTGGGGAGCGGGGCAAGAACACATTCTAAGAGAACATGAAAGGAGGAGGACAGGAAAACAGATTACTAGAAGGCTCTGGGTTTTAAGTGGTTTAGCTTTTAATCTCAATGCAGAGGCAGGTGGAAAGTACAAGAGAGAGAACAAAGCAAGTATATTGTTAGAATACACAATGAGAAATAAACATATAGATTTTAAAGTGATTATTTACTTTGTTAAAGGTACCACAACTATGCCAGAGCATGTTTTCACTAGCAGCTCTAACAAAGTTAGTCCATGCTGGGCAGCTCAGAAAGCATGGTTAGATTTCTGATGACAAAAGTCATCAACAGCTTCCACACAGCTCTAGGCTTTGAGGCAGCGTCAGTGGAAAGAAAGGCAGTGAAGGATTGCAGCAATTGTTATTAGGTGGAAAGTCATCATGAGAAGAAACTTGCAAATTATCATTCAGAATCCACACTGTTTCTTCAGACTAGAGCAGTGATGCCCAATCACACCTGGCTGCACACTGTTAACAATGATCCCTGGTTCATTGGATGACAGGAAAAATCAATGCAGTAAGGTTTTCCACAAAAGTTTTTTTTTTGTTTTGTTTTAAAGAAATATACTTTGAGATGCTGTTCTGAGATTATGTGCTTGCTGCTTTTCAAATTAATGTCCTTTCTTTTATGAAAGATTATTAGATAGTGGGTAAGTATGCTTTATATATCAATGCCCTTACTAGCACAAAAAAATAAAAGACTGCTATTTCTCCTCCTGTTAGTCTTCAATGTTTTTTAAGAAATTTGTTTGAAGATATTGCAATGTTCTACCAGTTTAGCTCACTCCTAACAGAGCTCACCATTAATTACATATACAACACAGGTAGTTTTAAATAACACCACTGTAACTATAAAAATAATTCATCAAAAATTTACTGGTTATAACAAGGGGCAATATTTTATGTTAATGCTGAAAAGAACAACCATAGAGCTAAAGACAGCTTAAAAATTTGCCCTAGAGGGAATCTGCCCTAAAGCAGCTGGTCTTCAAAGTTATTATAATTCTTCTATCACCACTCATACAAGCACACACCTGGGCCACTACACCAATCAAGCGGTCTGGTTCAGGAATTAGAAGACCTACATTCCAGTCCATCTACTGAAATCCTGTGCAAGTCACTTAACTTCCTTGGGGGTGGAGAGAGGGCATTCGCATCTGTTAGTATAACATAAGGTTATTTTGAAGAACCAAAGGAAAAGGTACGCAGTATATGTATCATAAATGATCGGGTAACAGAGTTAAGAAAAGGGGAAGTTAGAACATGAACACTACAGATTTATTCTAAGTGCAATGGAAATCACAAGAGCAGAAGAAAAAGGCCAGTTGAGAAGCTGTTGGGTACAAAGTAAGAGATGATGGTGCACCTGGGTTTTAGAGGTGGGGCAAACTGACTAGATCTGCCAGGTGTCTTGCAAGAAGATCAGATAAAATTTGCTGAAGGATAGGGTATGGATGAGAGAAAGAATAAAGATGTCATCTAGATTTATTTTTTGGGTGGTCCACGCATTTAGGTGGATAGATGGTAGAGACATTTACCAAGAAAGAGCAGGCTTGGGAAACTGCAGAATTGGGTGGAAATAGGGAGGCAGGAGTTAATGGTTCTGTTTTACAGGTTTACACATGAGATGCCCATTAAACACACAAGCGAAGAAGTCTATCTGTATTCGGAACTCAGGGAGAGATCTGAGTCAAAGTCATCAATATACAAATGATTCTTGGGCCACGGGCCCAATAAGAGCTTCTGGAAAGCTAGACGAAGTAGACAAGAAGAGAGCAGGGCTGATGCAAGAACCTTTGAACAATCCAACATTTGGTGATCAGATAGGGAAAGAGAAGCTAAAAACAACTAAGAAGAAAGAGAAGGGTGGGGAAGGGTATATGACTCATAAACAGGTTCATGCAATAGTAGGAAAGTCTAGGAAAGAAGAGTTTTTTAAAAGTAGAAGATAATATAGCTGACTGTATCAATGGTGTTACAAAGGTTGAGTAAGATGAAGGTAGAGAACAGACAACTGGCTTTCACTAGACAGAGAGACTGGTGACTTTGATAAGGAATATTCCAGTGGAGTGGTATGTAAAGAAAGTCTGATAAGAAAGAACTGAACAGAGGATGAAAATGAGTAAGTGGAAACAATGAGTATCGATAACTTTTTTCCAGGAGTATGATGCAATGGGGAGAAATAAAGCAGTGAAGGTGAATTAAACTGGGTAAATACAACCCCATTTTGCTTTTTAAAAGATGAGTGATAGATATTAAGGCAAGTTATTTACCATGGAAATAATAATGTAGAGACACTGATGTTACAGGAGACACAGACTAGTGCTCAAGTAAAGCCTTTGAAGAAGCAAGAGGGAACAGGATCCAGGACATGGGTGTTAGTCTAGTATAGGTGCAGGAAGAGGCTGCCACTGTGAGGAGAGAGAAAGCAAACTTTGTGGGGAAGAGATTTAGCTAAGCTGGTGGAACTGGTAATGAGACCTACCTGGTCTGAGTTATAAAACTAGAGTAGATATAATATAAAATCGTTTAGGACCACTTATGAATAAACATAGTGAGAAATCCTCTGCCTAGTCCTGTTGGCTCAGTTGATTGTGGTGTTAGTAGCAATGAGGCCAAGGGCAGGCATTGCGTTGATCTCCTTATGGCCCAGTTCGCTTCACAAACAAATAACAACATCAAAAGCAGCCTCAGAATGATATGCTTTTCGGTTCTGGATTCACCATGTGGGAAGTATAAATAAAAAGCCTGTATGTATTCTATAAATGGATAATGGCTTAAGAGTATTGTTATATATTTGAAAAGGACATAATATGGAATAAAATGCAAATTGTATCAACAGGGTAATGTTTTACAAGAAAATGAAGCATCCCAACTGCTGGGACTAATAAAAACATGTCTCAATTTAGGAAATGAAGAGGGGAGACTACTGGAATGTAGTAAGCAGGGAGGCTGAACTGAAAATCATGGCTAATACACAGTACACACTATAGTCTTATCAAATTCTGTACTTGAAATTAGGTCCTATTTGTATGTGTGCATGTGTCTGTGTGTGGTGTGACAGTGATGGTGGCAGCAGCTGCTCTGACTTCTCTAAGTGAGGGCCACAGGAAAACATACAGACCTAGAGAGCATGCAACAATATTTTTTAATGTTCCTTCTTCTTGGAAAACAGACTATTACTCCTATCATATCACCAATTTCAAAAGACAAGGAGACCAACCTCACTCAAAATTTCAGAATTACTGCTCTAATGTCAAACTTACACATCTGTTCCCAAATGACGACCTACTGCAAGCCAGGCACTGTGATAGGCACTAAGCACAGGGAAATGAGTCAGACGGGACGTCTTTCTCGAGCACCTGCCCTCAAGAAACTCAGTTTTGTAGGGCAGACTGACGAGCAACCAGTTAATCACAACTCAGTGTGTTGAATGTTAGGATGGAAGTGCTGAGGATGTTTTAGGAGCACACAAAGGGAACTGGAACCCAAAATTTAGGAGGTGGGGGTGAGTAAGGGAATTCCAAGATACCTAACTTGAAATCTTAAGAATAATTTAGAGATAAGCAGTTGTAGGAAGGATGAGGTAAAGTGTTGTAGGTGAAGAGATTAGTACATAATAATATGTATGAGACCCAGAAACAAGAGTGACCTTGGCACAACAGTAGTTAAGAAAACTGAAGACTTTGCTATGCCCAAACACCGAGGAGCAGAGAAGACAGAGTTGGAAAGAAGAAGTAAGGTTAGAGAGGTAAGTAGGAGTAGATCCCACAGTGGTTTGCTAACCAAAGTGAGAAGTTTGAATTTCATTCTAAGGGCAATGTGAAACCACGGCCAGCTGTAAGCAGGGAAGTGAAAAGCAGCATGAAGGAGACAGAAAAGACACTAGTTAATGCTGTTACCTGAGTCACCACAAGAGAAGACAGTGGCCTCAAACAGGGTAGTGGGGATGCAGAGAAGCAGACACCCTTGAGTGAAGACTTAGGACTT